ACGTCAACTAACAGGTTGAAATTACTCAAGAAATCTGCTCCGAGGATGGCGTGACTGACGTCGGCTACTATGAAAATCCATGTGAAACGCCGACGTAAACCTAGATCCAGTATGAGGGATTGCTCTCCATACGTCTGTATGCTTGTGTGGTTAGCTGCCCGGAGAGACAGTTTTCCGGGTGTCCGTGTAGATCGCCTGGATAGTGAAGGAGGGATTACGCTAACTTCTGCTCCCGTGTCTACCAGGAATAAAGTGTCTGAAGTTTTATCCTTCACATAGAAGAGGCGACTTGTTTGCTTGCCAGTAACAGCTGTCGCCATCACTGTCTGGCTGAGGCGTTTCCCTGAGCCTGGTTGGCTTCGCTAAAGCTGCACGGTTTTACACATTTCAGGGCATGACGTCCAAACTTCCAGTGATACCAGCATATATTGCTATCCCGAGAAGACGTGTAAGAACGCTGTCGTGAGAAGGATCGTCGTCGTGATGGTGACCTTCTTTGTGAACTCCGCCTCCGGACTCGTCGATCAGACTATTAGTTTCCAACTTGTCAATCCTTGCCGCTAAGTCTGCAATGGCGGCGAGTATCGGTGTGTCTGCCGTGGGTGTGGAATGACACGGTGTGGCACTATCAGATGCTACGTGACTTATGGTGTTATCGATAAAACATCCAAATACTATCTGCCATGTCACTTAGTTGGTCTAAGTCATACGACTTTCCTGAGATGATTAAAATTTGCTGGACATTTCTAGGTAAACGTTGCAACCACATCTGTTTCAGCACTACCTCGTCTACTTTATGGTGTCCGATTAACTGGCGCATGTGCCTGAGCAGCTGGGATGGTTTACGTGGGCCTAGTTCACAGCCTGTGAGCAATTGTTGGATTCTTTTCTCATCCGACAAACTGGTACGTTGTATGAGGAGGGCTTTAAGTTTATCAAATTGATGTTCCGTCGGAGGATCTTCGATGAAATCGCTGATTTCTGTCAATACTGACGGAGGGAGTTCTGCCAGCACCATACCATATTTGGCTATTTGGGACTTAATGCCCCGTGCTTCTAGCAACGGTTCAATTACCGCAAACCAAATCCTTGGTTCTGCGAAACCGTATTGGGGTAAACGAAAATCAGTGATGGCATTTGTCTCGCTATTAGTTGTCTGCTCGTTTGATGTACCGGACTGAGGTGATGACATTATAAATATGAGGTTATTGGTGCAAATTAGGATACAAATATAAACCACACACAAAATCACAATGAATATACAAAATAGCAAAAATAAGAATATGAATATGCCAAAATAATCCGTGTTCTTATCGGGCTCACCAATTAATTTGTAGGGGACTAATATTAGAGTTCACTAACATTCCAAATATAAAAGTAATAATCCAAGTCAGTGGAGTGTTAAATCACAATATATTACCAAAAATACAGTGACGAGTTATAGCAACAAAAAGGATTACTTGGATATAAAGTCTAAGTCCTCGGCTACAAATTAATTATATAATCCACGGGCACGTTAATTGTTTGGACTGCGTCTGCTGTAGCTGCTGTGTTCCGGTTGTAGAAATGTCTTCGGTTGAGAGTAGTAGACTCCTACAATAAATCCGAAGTATACAACACGGTGTGAGTTGAGCAAGTAAGCAGAAATGACCAGGGAGAAGACGAAGTCTCCAACAGCAGAGTGTATTTTCAATTGTACACGGAAGTTATGTATATTTCAACAAGAAGCGTTTTAAACAAAAATTATGTACAATATCTCGAATTTCTACAAATAACCAAAAAGTGTACAATCACATTGTTACGTACTCCACATATATATCGGTAATAATAATAAGTCTAGAAAGACGATGAAAGCTCCGCAATTAAACCAAGGAGCTCAGAGAACACTATCAATTGAAAATAATAAGTCTAGTCAAAGTTGTCAAGAGAGTAAGACGGGAGAGAATGTAAATAAGCAAAGCGATGAACTTAGTTGTTTACCCCTCAAAGCTGTATGGGATAGGCCATCATGTCCCTGCATGATCGTACAGTTTTCGCTTAAACGCGTCCACAGATGGTGCCATAGCTACATCTATCGGTAAGGTATTCCAGGGACGGCAAACCCGCAGTGAAAAGAAGCTGGAGCCTACCCGGTCCTTGTCCCTTGGTGAGCTATCCTTCTAGGACTTCCACGGGGAAGCCTATACCTAATCAATGACAGATATGTTGGTTCGTTGATAGGATTTTTACCAACCGTGCTCGTGATTCACTGATCGAACTCGGCTAGCGCACACTTTCACGTCCTTTGGCCGAAAGTTAGCCCGACGGATAGGGAAGGCTGATTGTGAGATGAGCAGCTTCATCCTATAGAAAACTTTGAATCCCAGGACTAAAGTTCTTTGTTCCACTGGTAACTCAGAGGAGTGAGAGGAAAGAAGAGGCAAGTGAAGCTGAAAGGTGATTGAATGGAAGATCCATGGCCCTAATCTTTACCACAGCTGAAGTAGTGATCACGGCACACCCTGAACTATCTGGTTTCAGTCAGTAATCCATTGATGGCTAAGTAGGTCGAAAGGACGTAATGTGGATTATGCGTTCTAAAAATTTTGTGGGATTTCTATCTTCTACTGAACTGTCGTAATAGGTGAATGCCCTTCTGTGTTTTTCATAATGATTCCCGGTCCGTTTATCCACCAACGTGAGAAAGGAATAAACTTTTTTTATTTTTTTTATTTTTGATTACAGCTTGATTCCACACTGTATTTTTAGTACAAGTATGGAATTTTTAGCATGGATATCGGTAGCCCAAATTTTGCAGGCCGACCATAGATATCAGGTGTGCGTCGGCAGGGGATCGAACCTCGGACCATGTGCATGGTCGGCGAGAGTCCTAACCACTGTGCCACCGACGCACTCTTAACGACAGCTAGTGTCCTAGTAATCTATCTTATCTTTTGTGATTATTAAAAGGATTTAAGAGGATTCACATTTTAGATTTGCATCCCTGTGGTAACGTTACCGCAGGTATGGATGATTATCCCAGAATCCATAGCAGCAGATAGTGGTTAGCAGTTCAGACTTATTGCTAAGGCTTCAGCAGTAATATCCTTACTGAGGAATCTGAATAAAGTACTGTTAATTCACCCAAATGTGGCGACAGATTTGAAACACTTCAAACAGCTTCGAAGACTGCGAATAAATTGATCGATTATTTGAGACAGCCTCTGTTGTTTATGTGATGGTTAATGGTTGAAGCTACGGTAGACGCCAGGGGTTGCAGGTTTCCCCACCGGAGGCTTGAAAGTTCACTGTATCGACGAAACCCCCACTCAGCCGCTAGACTGCCAGGTAGTCAGACCATAGGTTGTTTGAATTTAAGGCTTCAATCCCCCTTCATTGAATCCAGACCAACTAAAATGTATCAATTCCCACTCCACATTGTTACTGGGGTGGTGGGGATCTAAGAGAGATCTTAAAAATTTCAAGAGGTAGTGATGTATCTAGTTTATCTCCTATCTCTTTGAAAAAGTCAGAACGCTTCAGGTAGCAAAGGGGAACTGCTTTGGAATCGATGAAAGCTATATTTCTGCGCAGTATGGTTTCTCATACTGAGTCATAAACACTCACAGTATTTGTCTAAGACATATGATGCCTGCGTTTACAGTCATTTGGTTCTAGAAGCAAATACCTGAGGACACACATTTAGGAGATGGAGATTAATGTATGTTCTAAGGCTTTATCTCCGATCTGTTTTGTTCAATTTTTTCACTGAATGGCGCATTTAACATCAGCTGCGTTACATTTACCGTTTCAGTGTAAGGTTTATAGAAAGGATTTTATTCACCTGTTACCCGTTACATAAAGTCATAAACCCTTGTGATGGAACTCGTAAACAATGTTTCATTAACCTTCTGTATGAAGTACTTACCAGAAAACGTTATGTATTCGTGCCAATTGTCACGTTCATTAATTTAAATTAATTAATTAATTATAATGGACGGAAAGGTGAAACGTGATGTGTTAGCCGCGAATTTTGTTATTGATCACGAAGTTTTCGTTTTATGAAAACTTCTAACTTCGAATCTCCCAAGTAACTCGTGTACAGCTGTACACATCCGCGTTTAGCCTCCAGTTCGTAATATATATCTATATTATAGATATTATATTATTATGTATATACTACTAATTTCTTAGTCACTGACTTACTGTTTACAGAGCTCACAGTTTGCCTGGGAACGCCATTATTACTATTTTTAAAATTAAAAATATCGATAAGTACAGTACTCATGCCAAATCATCACCTTCCATGAGAAGCAATGCTAGCCTCTACAGGTCTGTTTTAATGCGAAGCATTATAAGTGGCCAGACTTGGACAGTTCATTACGAAATAGTCATTATGTGAAATGAAAAAATGGCCCATTTGTTGAGAGAAGAGATGATATCACTAATAATCAACGGGAATAGTGTTAGTGGGAAATTGGATAGTGTTGAAGGAATGCTAGAATTTAGGGTACATCTTATGAAACACTGGTGAAAAGTGTTAGGATGAAGAGGAAGGAGGAGGCAAAGAGAGATAGAAGGAAAAGACACTTGAATTGGAGAAGGACTTGTATCCTGAGAATTCCACTCTGTACTATAGGTACTGTTTTTGGAATAATGTAAATTATTATTATTATTCCAAGCTTGACCATATCTGGACGTGTTACTGGAGAATACAAAACCCTGGTCTGGTCTTAAAACATGATAGCAGTTTGATAGATATTGTAGTGCGTTTTGATGTAATTCGGTATCTTTAAGTGCCAATTACTTCACTTCGGTTTCATTCTCTGCTCATTTATTACCTTATAGGAAACCCAGGTAGTATATCACTACAACATAGTCCAAAATATTTTAATGCTGTTTAAAAATTATCTTATGATATTCAGGTTGTCAAAATGTATCATTCTCGTAGTTAATGTTATTAGTATTATTTCCGAAGGTACCTAAAATGCTGATAACCATTTTTTTTAAAATTCCAGCACATGACATTCACTCAACCTTTTGAGATGAACCACATCACATCGCGCACTGTATCTGTTGAGAAATGTATCACAATTCTCTATGGGAGTCAAACGGGAAATGCTAAGGACATAGCTGAACTTCTTACTCTTCAGGCACACCGAATCTTTAGTCATAAGTGTGCTGCCTTTCATCTACAATGCCCTCCTAAAATTCTCTTGCTACCAATGAATGACTACACACCTGTTTCACGGCTCGCAAAAGAAAATGGTATAGTTGTATTTGTGTGCTCCACTACAGGTTATGGTGTTCCTCCGGATAATATGTCACAGTTCTGGAAAAAATTGATGAATCGAGCCTTGATTCCGGGCCGATCGCTCCCACCAGATTTACGTTTTGCTGTTCTTGGTCTTGGTGATTCTTCATATACTATGTTTAACTTTGTTGCTAAAAAGCTGTATCGTCGCTTAGTTCAACTAGGCGCTACTCCACTTTGTTTCCGATATCAGAAGGAAAAGACATTCGAGGAGAATGAAGATTCGGCTCTTGGATTAGCTGATGATCAATCTGAGTTAGGTCAGAATGATGTCTTTAAGTTTTGGATTCCAGCTCTTTGGCATAGTATCATAGAATTGTTTGGAATTCCTTTGTCTGAACAACTCTCTATGTTTGTTAGTTGGGACAATCTCAAAAGTCCTGACTTTGTTTTTGAATTGTGGCCAAAATATGATGTGACGCTTCGCAGCGTACAGTCATCGCACAACGTGGCATCCTTGTGTGAGGACAGCTTAAATTGGCAGATTGCTAAGCAGGTTGAGTTTGATAATGAACACTCGTTTATGTCTAAAGCAGTTCCAGCTAATGCTCAGTGGTTTCAGGTTATTAGTTCTAAACGTGTTACAAGTACAGACCACTTTCAAGAAACACGACTATTGGAATTGTCATACAAAGTGAGTGTAGCTAGTTTGTTCTTATTTTCTACTCTGTATAATGCTTTACATTTTTAAAATATTTTATATATACTCACCTAAGTGTTTTTATGGAAAGCTGCTGGTTACTATCTAGACGAATGCAACTATACTTTCAGTGGTGTTACTACGTGCCTCATTTAGTTTCGACCAACTTATGAGCACCGAAGAGTGTGAAATTAGCCTATTTATCTTAGTAGCGAGCAGAGCAGACACATGAAGCGCAGTTTTACTGCGAAATTAAAATTAATTGGCCCGTATAATACACATCAACCATAGTTCATGTATGCTTACAACCTCACTATTAATTGTGCTTCTTATATGTGTATCTTCGCAGAAATTTCTTGTAATTTCTCACCTTTTAAATTAGAAAGTGTTTTGTAATATCAGAGTTTTAGTACGCCTTACGACGAGACGTCTCCATTCATTAGGTTATAAAATATACAGTAAAATCTTAAAAATTCAGAGCTGTTTCAAAACTTGTCAAATGGTTTCCTTAATTACTGTTACAGATGTTGAGCTATGTAGATGTTGTGTATCTTTTTTCATTAAGTATTTTCTTAGGAGTTTGTATGGAAGTTTGATTCTGGGTTTTTCATACGCCCTGGGGTATTGATATGTTACTACTTTAAAATTGTTGTACTTGTGAGTTACTAGGTGAAGAGCTTATTAAAGGAATATGCTCAAGCATTAGCGATACCTAAAGCTGAAAAAGAAGTCTCACAAACAAACATCCCTATTAAGTTATACTTCTAGAAATTATAAAACAAGTGACCAAAAATGAAAGCATATACGGAAATATACTTGTTAAAATATGATAGCTTGTACTTGTTTGCTTCTTTGAAGAAGCTGATTCGATGCGGTATTAAAACACTAAAAATCCACGCTTTTACATTGTTGAAGTTTAGGAGATATTTTTTGACTATGAGCTTCCTACTTGGTGTTCAAATTACTTACTTCTTTGTAGTCAGATCTCAGTTCTGATATCTAAAAAAATAGTTTATTAAAGGCCGATTGACCCTCCTTGTCCAACGATTTCTTTTACGTACGTTGTTAAGTAATGGAACTAGTTTGTGCATTTAGGTAGAATGTCATTGTTTGAGGGTATATAGTTGGTGTCTTGTCGAATGAAAAATAACAATATAGTTTTATTTATTAAAAGCTCTGAATAAATGTCAAGTGCAAATCGAAATGGAACTATTAAGGATTAGTACACATCTGTGTTTGGAGTCTAAAGTAGTTTTACTTTCTTTACTCGAGTAGTTAAATTATTCTTAATCTATTTTCAAGACTTCGACATCAATACAAAATGTTGCTTTTATTATTACTTACGTTACATTTAGTGGAATGTGCGTATTGTTGTGTCAAAGGTGTGTGTGGTGAATGAAATGAAAAGGCTACTAGCAATCTGGGGCATTTAGAACATATAGAGATACTACCAAATGAGTTATAGGTGACCACTCCAAACACAAACAACACTATTCGAATAGGATTATACAGTATTGCATATTAGACGTTGTCGTCACACTGTACATTTTCATATCGAATAGTAGTGGATAGTAAGAGAAAAGATGAGAAAGTCAAAATTATGTTAATTTTAATCGGAAAACACAATAAGAAAAAAGATGAAAAGGTCAAGCAAATGTAGAAGTTTTATGTGGAAGTCAAACCGGTAAGCCATAAAACATAGCACGTCAAGATAATTGATAAATGGGTAAGTGTCAAAAGATCGATATTTGTATAATAATACGTAAACACTTATTATCTTTTTAGTAATATACTGCGATACGAATTCTTTGTGGAATATCATATTGTCTTACTTTTTAATCTACCTAGTATAGTCTCCAGTCAGTTCAAATCAGGTTGAGTTTCGACCAGGTGCTGTACTTTATGTTCAGCCTACAAATCGCAAGGAAGATGTTTTGTCTTTATTTCAAATAACTGGCTTAGATCCAACGGTACGTGTAAAAATTGATCAACGTCATCCAAATTTCCCTTTACCATCTTTATTCGGAGCATTGAAAGAAAATCATTGTGATGTTTCTGTTGCATGGCTTGCCAGTTATTATTTTGATTTGAATGCAACTCCGCAACAGTCATTCTTTGTCAACTTTTGTGCATTCGCTAATCACTGCTTAAGGCATTCAGTGACGTCAACTGGAAACCAAACAGATAGAGATCGTTTAAGATTGGAGGTAGGACGTTTAACTGAACTTGCTTTGGCCGAGACTTCAGAGGCTGTAAATGATTTGTATGACTATGTTTTTCGTCCGTGTCGACGCGTAATTGAAATACTGGTAGACTTTCCAGTTACCGCTAGTCTCTTTACAGCAGACTGTTTATTTGATGTGCTGCCTGGACCGATTCGTGCACGACCTTATTCAATTGCCTCACCATCACCTAAAATTGAGTTACTTATTGCTGTAGTAAATTATCGGACTCGTATTTCAACACCACGTCTGGGATTAGCATCAAACTACCTGGCTTCTCTAAGTCCTGGAGATTGTTTGAGTGGATGGCTTGGTACTGTAACTGGTGGTTTTCAATTTGATAAATTCCTAACATCTTCACCTCCACCATGTCTGCTGATTGCAACTGGCACTGGAATCGCACCTTTTCGCAGTTTTCTTTTATACCAGCGTAATTCTCTTGTACATCATTTGAAACCTGACGCTTATCCTACAAATGTTCTCTTCTTTGGTTGCCGTTATTCAACAAAAGATTATTATTTTTCTACTGAACTCTCTATGTTAGAACAAGAAGGTTGGCTTAAGGTTATACCGGCGTTTTCACGTGAAAATATATCCGAAACGTCGTCATCGTCGTCGTCGTCTCGACGTCAGTATGTGCAAGATCAAATGAAAAGATATCAAGAAATCGTGTGGTCTGTATTAAAATCTCCTCAAAGTCATATATTTATTGTTAGTAGTCAAAAAACTATGCCAAAAGAAGTGTATGAAGCATTAATCTACTCTGCGGTCAATACAGGTTGCATGGACTCGACGGCTGCTGAAGATATGATCAGTCAGATGGAGAAAAATAATCGTATACAAATTGAAGCATGGTCATAACATCCATTTATAAAGAAAAAGAAAAAATCATTATGACTAGTTGGGAAATTCAAGAAATTCAGGATATATATATATATATATATATATATATATATATATATATATACTCAGACACATGTGATGCATTTACTTATGTGTATGTTTGTAACATAAAATAAATCATGTTTCTTGTATACAATTTGTTTTTGATCAGCTAACTTTTCGAAATGTGTGAGTATGCTTTGAATGGATCCTTATCTGAGGCGTATTTCTTGCATCTGGTTGAAAAAATTAATAGTGTTTTGGGTGTTTATTTTAATTAATTCATGAGGAAAGCTAAACTGACCTCTTTCGGTATATGGTTTAGGTAGTGAAATTGTGTATTGTTGCATAAATAGTTTTTCTTCATATTACTATTGATTGACTGGCTGGTGTGAATAGTTGTATACGACTCAAACCAACTAGCAGTACTTGCTAGCCTGATGAACGAAACAGGCATCTGGTGTTTAGTGACTGTCGATCTTTTCAGTGTATATGCCTGTGTATATAAATTTATTCCTTTATTTTAACTTTCTGTCTGACAGTTCCTTGATCACTCTGGAGTGTGTGTGGATAAGATAGTTCCTTTAGATAATGACGTAAACATGTAGAGTTTTCTGAGCTTCTATACTGACAACGTGTGAATGTTCTGTTAGAGATAAAGGATGTTATTTCAGAGTCTTTATTCTAGTGTCGATAAGTGAGTTAGGTGACTTAGGATAATGCTTGCTATACCTCCTTGATTCATCATCTCAAACTTGACATATTGATGGCTTACGAAACTTTATTGTGAATATAAACGACTTGGTTGGTATTTGGTGATAGATTAAACTTTAAGTTTTTTGAGATTTGGTATACTGTCTTTCGACAGCATTATATATTGCACAGAGGGACATACCTGTTGAACATGAAATATACGTAATCGTTACAACAATATGTTTAAAAAATGTCACGAAGGCTGTAATCATTGAGCTTAAGGTGATGAGTAGGTGTTTTCGTTAGCTTGCATTTCTTGTCGATCGATTCTATTGGAACGAAACGCTCGGTCTCTATTAACCTGTTGGTTCCTGGTATGGACCCTGCGACGGTTTCTTAGGGTTAACGTGAGGTTATTTTGGTTAATAGTGATTAGCAGTGGGATTCAGGAGGCATGTTTCATTCACTTCAGAGCTAATCAGTTGGATGTATCTGCAATCCAATTGGGAACATCACCACTCACTGGGAATGTGAGCGCAACTAGCCGACGAGTCCCGAATAGGACGAAAAGTGCCTCTTGGATTCCATTGTTAGTCACCGTCAACGAAAATAATTTCAGGCTAATTAAGTTGTCTGCCATATATAATAACACACCTGAAATTTTTGTGTTCGACATAAGATGTTCAGACTAACTCGTAATATAAGTTATAGTTTGTTTGATGTTGTTATAGTGTTTTTGATATTGTATACAAGTGAGAAGATGGTTGTTGGAAACTTTCTAGAATCAATGTTACTACATTATTCATTTACTTCATATCTCTCCTTAAGTTATCTTACTATTATTGATGCAGTTATTGATTTTCTTTTCTTAACTCCCCTTATCTGTGTTGTTTGTGAAATGTGACCATTAAATTGAAATACACCTTTATTACACTTTAAGTTATTTTCTGTTTGTTTTCATTTCAATCTGTTATGATATTTCGAAGAATTGATTTGATTTTATCGATTTCTTCTAATCAATGGTCACATGTAATAGAATTGTGTAGAGTATGTAGGTAATGAATAAGCTATTAATAAATAATATAGAACAAGGAAATTAATAGACAATTTCAACTTATTTTATGCATACAGCGAATGGATTTATTTTCGAATATTGATGCTATCTGATTTAAGAACGCTGTGTACGAGGAATGGCAAACAAGATATGAACTGTCGCAATGAAATTGTACTCACTTTGGATGGTTTACGAATTCGCTTCTTCTAACCGGTATCGCGAATTAACTGAATTTGTTTATCGTATACCTTCAAGGAGACAACTTTTCATCATATGAATAGTAGCTAAATAATATCCACATTAGTAAGGTGGGGTGGGGTGGGTGAACGTAGGCTAAATGAGCAGTTTTGATCAGTTGAGATGTAGGCAAAAGGTGGGTGGGGGGTGGTAATGCAACGTTAAATACCTACTTCTTCTCCATTTTTTCAACAAAAATATTACTCCCTTTCACACATTTTCCCCATGTTTTTCAACAAACGAATTACCCACTTTTTCACGCGTTACCCGTGTCATTTCCGAAAATATCTTAGTTTGGTGGGAAAGGCTAAACGCTCAGACATAGTCGTTCTAGCTGGTGACTTTAATGCTCAAGTAGGGAAATTGTGTCAATCTGAGAAGGATGTCGGTGGCACCTATGGAGCTCCGTGCCAGCGAACCGACAACGGTGACCGTCTCCTACAGTTCTGCTCTGATAATCATTTGTTTCTTGTAAGCACTAACTTTAAACACAAGGAGAGACACTGTTTGACTTGGAGACCCCCTTCATCAAACCAACGCTGGACACAAATAGACCACATAGCAATAAGCTATCGTTGGCGTGGGTCGGTAGGAGATTGTCGCTCCTTCTGGAACACGTGCGTAGATACCGACCATGCACTGGTCCGCGCTCGGGTGTGCTTACGACTGAACGGACGTAGGAAACAGCTGGCGGTAAAACCATCACGTCCCCAGCTCGATCAGGAAACTAAATCCGTATTTGAGGAAGAACTAGCTAAACACATATCTGTGTTCGACAGCTGTGCTCACCCTGAAGAAGCTTGGAAAAATATCCAGGCAGCCATAGATACAGCTGTAAAAGCTGTGAATAAGGTAAACCCAAAGGTGAGTAAAAACCACTGGATCTCCACCGCCTCATCCGAACTGATAGATGCTAGAAGACTTATTCCGGCGAGCTCCGAATTCAATGAGGAGCGAAAGCTGCACAAGAGGAAACTTACGAAAAGTCTCCGCAAGGACCGTGAACAGTGGTGGGCGACAAAAGCCAAAGAGATGGAGAAAGCTTTGAGGATAGGCAACACCAGGCAACTCTTTGGACTCATCAGGGAAACGGGTGGGAGAAGACAAATCATTAGTGAGACAATCTCGGAAAAAAATGGCACTATAATTAGCTCACAGGATAGACGACTGGATCGTTGGAAAGAGCATTATGAGGAGCAGTTTAATTTGCCCACAGCCACGCTCAACCTTCCGAGCATCCAACACCTCCCTGAATGGGATATAGGCACAGGTCCTCCGTCACTAACTGAGGTTACTAAAGCTGTCACCAATCTGAAACTAGGCAAAGCAGCGGGACCTGATGGAATGACTCCAGAGGTATTTAAGTACGGTGGAGACAGCTTACTGTCCGGATTAACTGAGGTACTAGGCAGCGTCTGGGAATCAGAAGAAGTCCCATCGGGTTGGTGTAAGTCACTGATTATCCCCATATACAAGAAGGGAGACAAGTCTTCCTGTGATAATCACAGAGGGATTAGCTTGACTAATATAGTATCTAAAGTCTTAGGCTCAATAATCATGCGTAGACTGAGTGGTGCTCGGGAAGCACAAACACGAGAGAGCCAGGCAGGCTTTAGACCAGGAAGAGGGTGTATTGATCATATCTTCACCCTCCGACAGATTCTAGAACATAGGCATTCCTACCGGCGTCCAACAGTCATTATATTTCTTGACCTAAAGGCAGCATTCGACTCTGTCGATCGGGAAGTTCTCTGGAGATGCTTGGCTGTAAAGGGAATTCCAAGAAAATATATTGCACTGATTAAGGCACTCTATTCGTACTCATACAGCCAGGTGAGGGCTTACGGCGAGCTGTCATCTGAACTGATGACGACCAGTGGTGTCCGTCAAGGATGCCCATTATCTCCTTTTCTATTCAACTTCATCATAGATGTGTTAATGGACTTAACCCTAGGTGACTTCAGCGACTCAGGAATTGACTTGCTACCGGGAATAATCTCGTTGACTTGGAATATGCAGACGATATAGTCCTTCTAGGCGAAGACGCTGACGAAATGCAGAGTCTTCTAAACACCTTGAGCCGCAATCTACGAATGTTTGGCATGCGATTCGCTCCCGCCAAATGCAAGATGATGTTACAGGACTGGACTACATCGACGCCTAGTTTAAAAATAGGAAGTGAAGTGGTAGAGCACGTTGACCGCTTCACTTATTTGGGAAGTACCATCAGCCCCAACGGGCTGATCTCTGACGAAATCTCAGCACGAATACAAGGGGCTCGTTTCGCATTTGTTAGTTTACGCCGACTCTGGCGTAGACGAGATGTTCGACTATCGACCAAAGGGCGGGTGTACTGCTCATCAGTCCGCTCCGTCCTCCTTTATGGTTGTGAGACCTGGCCACTGAGAGTGGAAGACATGAAAAGACTAGCTGTCTTTGATCATAGGTGCCTGCGTTCTATTTCCCGTGTAAAGTGGCATAATAAGGTGAGCAACATGGAGGTTAGGCGTAGAGTTCTAGGTAAACAGGGGAAATCAATCGACGAAGTCGTGAAGCTACAAAGACTGAGATGGTTAGGACATGTGTTACGTATGCCAAGCCATCGCCTCCCTCGACGAGCTATGTTAGCGGATATAGGGTCAGGCTGGAAAAAAGCTAGCGGCGGTCAAACAAAAACTTGGCATCAGTCAATGAAATCCACAACAGTTGGTCTAAGCCACGTGGAAAGGTGTAGACTTCCAGGCTGGGGTCCTCGGGACGGTAAAAATCTATGGTTGGAAACAATTGGTGACATGGCTCAAAATCGTTCTCAGTGGCGCAGATGCATCCACTCCTTGTGACTTATGATCTCCAATGAAACTGTTTTGTATTTCTTTATTACTCCTTTGTCTCACACCTCTGCTCACTGTTTCTATTATGCTTTTCTTGTACTTTCTTCTCTTGCTTCGCGTGCTACACGGAGTGTGGCGACTTGAACTTCCGCACATTTGTGCAAAGTTCTATGTCGAAAACAGACAGAATTTGCCTACTTTTTGAACGGGATTTTACCCACCTTCTTACTGACTTTATCTGTGTTCAGGAAAAAAATTCCCCCGACTAGGAAGCTACTGGGTCTCATTGACACCTACTCAGCATACTTACACGTTATCGTTTTAACTAATATTCATATTACGAATCTCATTTAAATTACATTTTGAAGTCATTTATGTGGTAAACATTGTCCACGCGTTTTTAGATTAGTTAATGCTGTTTTTCTTTGTAAACTGGCGCGACATTCACATCGTAGCTAGAATAGCATAGTACTGACCTTTGACGTAACTTTTATAGTTTTATTATTTGTGTAAACCAGTGTACTTTTAGCCGAGAATTTACCTATTATTTGTTTGTCTACCATTTCAACTAGATATGTTAACAACTAAAAACGGTGAGGATAAAAGTAATCGCATGGTGTATTTCTGGGTGGAGTATAGCGAGCACCGTTTTTATAAAAAATACACTTTTCACCTTCAAAACGGTAAGATGTAGCATCTGGTATGATTACAGCATCCCTCTAAGCTCGTAATACAAAATCACGTAAGCTCAACTGTATGAGACAATTTAAATTGTAATTGACCGCCTCCATTCTATCCCCATTCAAGTGGGCGGAAACGAATGGGAGGTAAATTTGTTTTGACGGTAACTGTGATATATCCACCCAAAATGAAAATATTTCTTTGAGTAAGGATATAGATTATTGTCAAATAAAATTTACCGCATTTTCGTTTTAGTATACTTGATTTAATAGAATGTAGGCGGTTAGTTTTAACTTGAATTTTTCCCCTGGGTAATTGGTTTTGTGTGATCGTACACTACGTACTTCGAGGAATGCTGTAATCATATCGGATGATACCTTTGGGTGTTTAAATGTGTTATATCAACTCTCTTACACTGTTGGGGTATCCCTTTTTAGCGTTTGCCATATTATGAGTATTAAATTTTCGCATAAAGAATTGAAACGAGGCAGCAGCTGCAAAAAAACACGCGAAGTATCTAATGGGTTCGTACATTTCGATAAGGCTCATCAGCTGAATATTTTGTGAACATTATTTTTTCAGATGAATTCTTAAGTTTAGCGTGCATATAAACAATATGAACATGGTGACAAGTAATAATCAGGTTACACAAATGTAAGATTGATAACAAACTGAGTGATAACTTGTCAACATAATTTAAAAGGTTATTCGTTTGAGTTAATAATATATTTCTTATTGATTGTTTATGTCGGATCGATCAGCTAACGGGAAAAATGAAACTGACTGAATTAAATAATAACTGATACCCGACGCAAAACAAGCGCCTCTTGTGGCCGAAGTGGATTAGTGGGGATAACACTTTGACGTTTGAAACGGTGGTTGCTGCGTTTGAAACTCAGTGACAACACCACGACCACCTGAAATTACAGGTACATCCATTCGAAGAGTTTCGATAGTATGAAATAGGACGAAATCGGCATCTTGGATTCCAGTACTAGCCACTATTCACAAAGTAACTTAATTTAAATGAAGTGTGATAACATTCTTAAAAGTAATTATTCACGTATGGAATGGAGTTGCTATGCTTCCGCTCCGTTCTTCTTTACAGTTGTGAGACCTGGCTATTGAGAGTGGAAGACATGAAAAGATTAGCTGTCTTTGATCATAGGTGCCTGCGCTCTATTTCCCGTGTGAAGTGGTATAATTAAGTGAGCAATATTGAGGTTAGGCATCGGTCGAGTGCTAGGTAAGGAGTGGGGGGAAATCAATCAACGAGGCTGTGAAGTTACACCGATTGAGATGGTCAGGACTGTGTTACGTATGCCTAGTCATCGCCTTCGTCGACTGAAAGGCAATGTTAGCTGACATAGGGTAAGGCAGGAAAAGAGCTAGCTAGTGGCGGTCAAACCAAAACATGGCTTCACAAGTCAATGAAATCCACAACAGTTAGTTTAAGCCAGCCACGTAGGAAGGTGTAGACTTCCTGTTTGGGGTCCTCGGGACGGCAAAAACCAATGGTTGGAAACAATTGGTGACATGGCTCAAAATCCTCATTCTCAATGGCTGGCGCCGATGCATTCACTCCCTGTGACTTATGATTTCCAATGAAACTGTTTTGTTCTTCGTTATTACTATTCCTTTGTCTCACACCTCTGTTTACTGTCTCCACTATGCATTTCTTTTTACTTTCTTCTCTTGCTTTGTGTGCTACGAGAAGTGGAGTGTGGTGACTTGAATTGCCGCACACATGTGCAAAGTTCTATGTCGAAAGCAGACAGGCAGTTGCTTTGTTGGAAATAATAAGAAATAATGGACGGTGGTCGTTTAGCGGTAGGATGCTCGCCAACGACACATACGTTTCGACGTTTGATCGTCGGCGGATGCACTCATAAACCTTCATGAGCCGGTAGTAAGTAAGTTCGGTAAAGAGGGGGTGGGGTTGGGCGTTAGGCCAGCAATCCCATCCTGTAAAAATAAAACCACTGCTACGGGAACTTCAAAGCTGAAGCTTGAAGGCCTATATTCCACTGAGAATAGTTAGTGTTTACTTTTACGAATGTTATCATTTCCTTTCAACTCCACTGTGCGTCGGTGGCACAGTGGTTAGGACTCTCGCCGACCATGCACATGGTCTGGGGTTCGAGCCCACGCCGACGCACACCTGATATCTATGGTCGGCCTGCGAATTTTGGGCTACCGATATCCATGCTGAAAATTCCATACTTGTACCAAAAATACAGTGTGGAATCAAGCTGAAATCAAAAATAATAATAAATAAATAAAAAATAATAAATAATAACTACTTATCATTGCTCATCTGTCATATGCTTGTTAAACTTATTAATTACATGTTGTCACATGTCTATGTGTGTGTTTGTATATATATGGTATCCTTTAGAATCGATAAAAAATAATCATGTTTGCAGAGTATTCAGCTGATGAGTATGATCAGAGTTTATGAATTCATTGTATGGTTTTTTTCATAATATCAGTTTCTTTTCGTGATAAGGATTTCTGTGTAGATGATTGTTTTCGAATGATGATACTGTTTTAATAGGCATCCATAGAATATCTGTCTGGATTCAACATAGAACTTGGCACCGAAGTCCAGCAGTTCCAGTTGCCACGTTCCAAATAGCACACAAAGGTAGACAAGAAGATGAGTGGAGAGAATTTACAGAGTTTCCCAAGTATAAGAGTGAAACAGAATGGGTAATGATAAAAAGGAATATGAAAGATTACAGAGACTGAATACATCTGCGCTGGCCACTGACAGCGATTTTGAGCCATGTCACCTATTGTCTCCAGCCATTGATTCCTAGAGTCCCGAGGGCCCCAACCCGGAAGTCTGCATCTCCCTACCTGACCGACTCAGTTTAACTGTCAAGGATTTCATGGATTGATGAGGCTATGTTTTTGTTTGGTCACCACTTACTCTTTTCCAACCTGCACCTATATCAGCTAGTAAAGCCCGTTGGGTGGGGGAGGCGATGGTTAGGCATGCGCAGTACGTGACCTAGCCATCTCAATGTATGTAACTTTATAGCCTCGTCGATTGATTTTCCCTCGTTGCCCAACACTCTGCGCCTAACGTCAACATTACTTACCTTATTAAACCACCTAACGTGAGAAAGAGATCGCAGACATCTATGATCGAAAGCAGTCAACCTTTTCATGTCTTCAACTCGTATTGGCCATGTTTCAGAGCCATAGAGAAGGACGGAGCTAACTGCTGAGCAGTACACACGTCTCTTGGTTGATAGCCAGATGTCACGCCTACGCCAGAGATGGTGTAAGGCAGGGAAAGCAGCTCGAGCTTTTTGGATCCGTGGTGAGATTTCGTCGCCAATCAGTCGGTTGGTGCTGATACAACTTCCCAAATAGGTGAAGTGGTCAACATGTTCTATCACTTCACTTCCTATCAGTAAGCTAGGAGTTGACGTAGCCATAGAGTATACAGTAAGTATACAGCAGTAGCTCAGGCAAACTACCATCTCAACTCACTAGCCTTTTTTCAGGAAGATATAGTTAGTAAAGAAAGAGGTCATGTTTTATATATATGCGGGAGAAGTGGAAATTTCACAGAATTATTAGATCATATTATAAGTCTGGAAATACAATGATTTATGATAAATGTAGTAGAAAAATTTTTTTTGAACATTTCTATAAATGATTGCGTAATCAACCTGTTTATATTTTTCTTTTTAGACGTGGAGAATTCTCATATAATAATATTGAATGACTTCGCTTAAACGTTTTGTACTTGGATTTCAAGAATTTCTTACAACTCCAAGTCGTTTATGGAGAATGCATTATCATTTAACACAGTTCACATCTAGTCAAATTCATAATACAAAAATTCATGAACATCAACGTGAACGACAAAAACGTCTGCAGATTCGGATTCCAAGTACAGACAGATTGGTAACAATGGCTTCTCAAAGTGATCAGTCTACTTCAAGTGGTGATAAGCTGTCTGAATCTAGCACTGAGGCATCTGCTTCACGTCCTCATGTATCACAATCCTCATCGTCGTCATCATCAACTGTAGCATCGCAGACTAAACGTCCTACATCACCGGATTCACATGGTTTATTAGAACCATTAGCGAGAATGTGGTTGATAAATGTGGGATTAATTTTGGTAAGGCATATATGTGGGAGAATCGTCTTATTCATTTTATTCAAACAGTATCAGTCACTTGACATAAGTCGTCATCTTAAAGATAAAATTTGTGGGCAGTGTATAAGGTAGTTATATTTCTGTTTCGGGTATTCAATACTATGTAACTTTGACATTTTTCATCATCGGATTTCAAGATAAGCTTAGCCTTGATTTCCAAACTGGAGACAGAGATAATAATAGCCATTTTTTAGCCCAGTCATCTGATGCCAAAATATTATTTGGCTTATTAGAACCTCGATATTCTATTTGGTGATATTTTGTTATTGGTTATTTTGTATGACCAAGCTCATTGAACCTAATGACACCATTAATATTGGGAGGAAAAGACACGAAGCTCAAAAATGATTGAAGCTGGCGGTCGGATTTCTATCGTGTAACTTAGTTTTGATGTGATTTTCCACTTATTATGAGCATTTTGGTTTACCAGCGTACGAGAGGCTGCGAAACACACAATGTTGTAGGCGTCCCAAAAAATCGATTTTCTCGTCGATTGATTGGATCGATGTGCTCGGTCTAAGGTTGACATGTCGGCTTCTTGTGTAGATGCTTCGACGAGAAGCCGACATGTCAACCTTAGACCGAGCACTTCGGTTCAATCATTAGACGGGAAAAACTAGAATTCAATTAAATAAATAGTATGACGCGTTGTACAAAAGGTGGCCCGAGTGGTCTAGTGGATAACACTTTGGAGTTTGAAACTATGGGAACTGGGTTCGAGCCTCGGTGGGAACATTATAACTCACTGGGGAATACAGGTACATCCAGACGACGAGTCCCAAGTAGGACGGAATGCACATCCTGGATTCCACTGCTAGTCACCATCCACCAATTATCTTAAAATACTAGTTTGTCTTAATATCTTTGATTCAATTACTAATTTGATGTCAGCGATGTAGATGTATCATACAAATAAATCTACAGTGAATCTCTCCACACTACTCCATGTATATTATGCATAATTAAGTAGCTATTCAATAATCTCAATGGTAGAACCTTTATTATTATGGTTCCTTTGGGTTTCGAGTGGAACATAGGGCTTCGTCATATAGCTATTGAATGAAGTTTATAAAGGTTTATGCCACTGCACTCCGTAGTTCTGTGAAGCAGTTTCCGGTAGATGCTATCGAAAGTCTTTTCACAGTCGATGAAGTTGAGATAGAGAAGTGACTAACTACCATTCTATACTGTATTCAATTATGTTGCATAGTGTTGCAAGCTGATCCACATAGGATTTGTTTTTTCCTGAATCCAACGTGTTCAGAGGGTAGTTTTGTTTCCACAGCATCTTTTAGTCTCTGCAAGCTGATGCGGGTTGATATTTTGCTTGAGGTGAATAAAAACATGATTCCGCGTCAGTTCTTGTAAAGGCTTACGTCAAGGTAGAATGATTTGTATTATATTATTTCAACATACAATTTTAGCTGTTTTATGTAAGGAACCATCATTATTTTTTATCAGCTTATATTTTAGCACTATACTTTTTGTGTTTGAAATAAGATACTAATCATAACAAATTGTAGGCTTAAGGTCATTTATATAGTAAAGAAATACAACTATTGTTAGTCGGATTCTCCGCTCAACCTTTAGTCAGTGAATAGAAACTTGGAAACATACACTATTTAATATTTAACTAGTATTCGTCGTTATCTTGACTACAAAGATCAAAATAGATAGTTCATAGTGTTGTGTATAGCTTCAACGGATGTTAATTAATCGTATTTGTAAGTTTCGGTATTATTTCAAGTGACGTCTTCAGTGTATATCATGACAAAGTAATGAAATTAAAACAAGCCTGCACCTTGTACCTTCTTGTGTCATGAAAATGGGAAACGGATTGTCAAAATTTTATTCTTCCATTAAGTGACACTGTGGATGTTGCTTAGACTGAAGAGGTAAACTAACGTGTAAAATTATTACCGTAGTACCAATATATTTTTAAATATCTTTTGAGAAAATATTTATTTGCTATAGTTTGGTTTGTAAGGGTTAGTTATATTTTTCCGAGTTGATCATGGATTGATATAGAAAATTAATCTGATGCTCGTTAGTGACTTGCTACAGGATGGAGTTTCCTGGAGTTCTAGTGAGAAGTCGTAACCAGTAAGGTCCAATTAGATATCACGTGTGTGGATGGATGTCTCACCAATGAAAATGGTTGGGGTTGCGCTAAATCACGAATCGGTAGAAGTTAGAATTCATGCACTGGCCAATGAATCGGTTGTCAGTGGCTGAACGGTATACGAGCTTCCCTCGTAACCGGAAGGTCCTGGGCTCGAACCCTGTTGGCGTGTGCGAACTGTCGATGATCCCCAAACTAGGATGAAACAGCAGCTGTCCAGTACTCCTTGGTTTTCAATGGTTCCCTAACTGATATCAATCCGTGACCAACTCGGTGGCACAGTGGTTAGGACTCTCGCCGACCATGCACATGGTCCGGGGTTCGAGCCCGCACCGACGCACATCTGATATCTATGGTCGGCCTGCAAAATTTGGGCTACCGATATCCGTGCTGAAAATTCCATACTTGTACCGGAAATACAGTGTGGAATCAAGCTGTAAATAAAAAATAAAAAAAAATAGTTATTTGCAACAGATTCCGCGAATTCTGTGTATCCATCCTAGCTTATAAGATATTTATGTAACTTTGTTTCCAAGGATTTAATTGATTTTAGTTTAATTGACAAATCGACATAAGTTAGACAACTGTTGAAAACTAGGGCGTACTAGACAGCTGTTTCGTCCTGTCCCAGGATTCTGCTGCTCACTGGTTACTGATTAGAGGATGAAATTGGTTGGAGTTTTAGTGCGAAGTCGAGACCAGTGGCGTCCACTAGGTCGGATATAAGGAGAAATATTCACCGATGACATTGGGTGGCAGTGGCGCTTTGAATCATGAATTAACATAAGTTAGATTGCATAGCAGAGTAGATTTATTTGATGAAAGGATACAGTGACGGTGTTATTTCCTGATGACGTTTCGAGCACAGTCTATTGCTCGTAATCATAACAAAGCACTCACATAACTTTTCAGCTTCATTTATATAATCCCATTATTTTTTGTGCTTTGATAGTACTCTGTCATCCTATGCTTTCATCAAAATGAATTATACTGTACCACAGTACCAGTTTTACTCTTATATATAGATTTCGTGGACCATTGGGTCTTTTTTCAGTGGGTAAATAGCCAATGAGCACTCTTTGTCACCCAAAGATTCTTCATTCGATCCTCTCTTAGGCCGTGGGTGCGTAGTGCTGGACCATCCCAAAGCGAGAAGAAAAAGGTACCCAGTACTTATTGATTTTCAACGGTTCTTTAACTGTTTTTGTCTCTATTACACTGGTGTATATATAGTTATGTATTGTTTTCTCAAATTTTTGTTTTTTTGCTTTTCCCCCTACCTTTTAGGTGTTAGCTGTACTATCCTATTTCTTCTCACTAATCCCACTAAGTCCTTCTCTCGGTGAGTAGTCGTGTTTTATTTCCATTAATATCCCGTCTGAACTGTAGTATTTCATTAACAAATGTATTCATGAATACTCCTTTCACATGTTTGATTATCCAGTTTTATTTGCCTAAAATAGATTATGAATGATAAGACTATTGGCTGGTTGTAAGCTAAAAATACCCGTAAAATCCGTAGTATTCTACTGTTTTTTGTGAACTAGTTTCTGTTTTTTACTTAGTAGAAGTATGTTTTCCCTTTTCCCATTATTAATCAGCTGTGCTTAAGAACTGTGGTTCATAAACCAATCAACCACCTACTTGACTGTACTACCGGTAGGTCGCGCTTTCGAGTCATATTCCACACTTGAACCGCCCTGTTAATATCATAACCATCCCGCGAAATAGGTGTGGCTCATTCTCATGGGTATATACATATATACAAGTGGTTGTGTTGAGTAACACTTCACTCACTGCCATCATCGGCCACTCTGAGTACAGAGATTATCATTCACAATTCATGCCTGAGTTGTTTTTACTCAGTAACTGCTGATGTATTGCAACCCAGTAAAAATGATTTCTAGAATTAGAACAGATTATTGTATAACGTGTTTTTAAAATTGAGATTAGTTAGCTAGTATGCAAAATTTCATGTGTAAATTATAATATGTACCACGTTATATTTTACCTATTGCATACATAGCATTAATGACTGCGAGTTGATTGATTTAATCACCTTGTTTTGAGAATTAGATTTTTTTTGGTTAGAGTATTTATCAGAATGACCGTTGTATAGATACATAAATTTTGATTAGTATTAGCTATATGGCATGGTGCATATCACTAAGCATCCATCTGTATCTCTATCAATAACCATGTATAATTCTCAGAAGTGTCTGTCTCTCTGGATTCAACATAGAACTTGGCACCTAAGTCCAGCAGTTCCAGTTGCCACGTTCCAAATAGCACACAGAGGTAGACAAGAAGATGAGTGAAGAGAATCAATACAGTCTGACAAGTATAAGAGTGAAACAGAATGGGTAATGATAAAAAGGAATATGAAAGATTACAGAGACTGAATACATCTGCGCTGGCCACTGACAGCGATTTTGAGCCATGTCACCTATTGTCTCCAGCCATTGATTCCTAGAGTCCCGAGGGCCCCAACCCGGAAGTCTGCATCTCCCTACCTGACCGACTCAGTTTAACTGTCAAGGATTTCATGGATTGATGAGGCTATGTTTTTGTTTGGCCACCACTTACTCTTTTCCAACCTGCACCTATATCAGCTAGTAAAGCCCGTTGGGTGGGGGAGGCGATGGTTAGGCATGCGCAGTACGTGACCTAGCCATCTCAATGTATGTAACTTTATAGCCTCGTCGATTGATTTTCCCTCGTTGCCCAACACTCTGCGCCTAACGTCAACATTACTTACCTTATTAAACCACCTAACGTGAGAAAGAGATCGCAGACATCTATGATCGAAAGCAGTCAACCTTTTCATGTCTTCAACTCGTATTGGCCATGTTTCAGAGCCATAGAGAAGGACGGAGCTAACTGCTGAGCAGTACACACGTCTCTTGGTTGATAGCCAGATGTCACGCCTACGCCAGAGATGGTGTAAGGCAGGGAAAGCAGCTCGAGCTTTTTGGATCCGTGGTGAGATTTCGTCGCCAATCAGTCGGTTGGTGCTGATACAACTTCCCAAATAGGTGAAGTGGTCAACATGTTCTATCACTTCACTTCCTATCAGTAAGCTAGGAGTTAACGTAGTCCAGTCATGTAGCAGCATCTTACATTTTGCAGGGGCGAATCGCATGCCAAACATACGAAGATTGCTGCCCAAGGTGTCCAGAAGACTCTGGATTTTGTCAGCATCCTCCCCTAACAGGACTATGTCATCTGCATATTCTAAGTCCATAAGACTATTCCCTGGTGACAAGTCGATTCCTAAGTCGTTACGTTCAGTTACGTTCAGAAGTGTAGTGTACGGCTTGCTATGCAACTATTGAAGTTACGATTAAGAAACGACTGTCAATGTTTGGCCATAAACATACTTGAAGCATCGAGTTAGCATTATCTGTCGTGAATGTTGGTTTCCGTTACAAGTGAACTAACCAGTGTCAACGAGATTATGAATCTTTATCGAATAGTGTTTAGGATAAGCATTTGTTACTGTCTTTTTTATTCCTATGCGTTCCAAGCAGAACATAGGGCTCCAGACTTGAAGTTCCAGTAGCGGTGGTGTTGTTTTTTACGGGGCAGGTTTACTAGCCTCACATCCAACCTCCCGTCTTCCCCAGACGTACTGTCAGCTAGTAAACTAGATGAGGTCATGGATTGTGTTGATCGGGAATCGAATCATGGACCACATGTGTCATCGGCGAGCATTCTACCCTTTGGACTACCGACGCACTGTTTATTATTATGCTGCGATGAAATAACTTTGTTTGAGACCAATATTTCTTATTGACTATTTTATTATATCTATTCATGAATAAGAAAAAACAAGGATTTATTCAGTGAAGAAATATTCTTTTCAACAATTTTATTTTCATGGTGTATAATCATATTTATGTTTGTCGAAAAGGCAGTCGTAGGAAAATAGCGCAATCAAGGTAAGAAATTAACATGGTTGTTAGGAGTTGAAGTGAGTAGAATATAGAAAGAATTGTTGAAAAAAAGAATTGACTTTACAAGGAATAATGGGGTCACTTAATGAAATAATAATAGTGGTAATGGAAACATTGAATGAAATTAGTTGGATAGAACATTATTAGGACCAGGATAAGGAGAGGGTCTTCACAAGATGTTTGTGAATGCATAGTTTGGGTGACCTTTTATTTAGAACTAGTGCTTCAGCTGTAGGATATAAGTGGTGGGAACACATACTTTTGGGGTGGTTGAATGTAGCTTTGTAGATAATTTCAGTATGCGCATTACGGGTAGCCATATGATTTGACTGCCAAAGCTGTTCCGGAACATATATAATTTTGTCGTCCTGTATAAAACGTTTGTCAACCAAAGCAAATGATATTCGGCCAAATGTTCCTGGAGAACTTGCTTACTCGTGTCTAATGTAATCCTTTTCACAGAAGGACGAACATAAGCGATATTTCATCCTTCAAACTTCAACAGCTCTGCAATACCTCCTGTATGATATCTTCTTTAAATCCGAAGTTCGTGATTAATGCCCTTTCTTGGCATTATGATTTGGCAAGGAGTAATTTGCTTCATTATGTTTCTATAAATGAACCTTCGACAAAGTCCGTTATTTTAGGTTGATTTTTGAAGGAGATCTTCAAAACTCAAAGTATGAAAAGTGGATAAGCTTTTTCTTGATACATAAACGCACTCAACTGTTCAAAATAAGTGAACTGTCCTGTAGTGGCTATCTTCCCGTAAGTCATCCTCTTCAGTTGACCGTCATTTCTCTTCAATATAACTCTGAAGAAATGGTGTGTAACTTTTAACTCTTCGGCCGTGAAACGTATTAATGGTTGACCAAAGTTAAATTGTGTAGGGAGTTTAACAGTTATGCAGTTCTCATTATGAACAATAAAGATATCATACGAATATCTTTTACACAAATGAAGATTGGAAACAATCTATTTCTTTGAACTCACCTTGAAGCAATCAGTTAGGATAGACTCTGTTAGAACTCTACTGGCAATTTAACTTCATGAATTACAATCAAAATTACACATTCAGATTAAACTAATATCAATGTTATCTCATTAGAAAAAAACCATCAGATTCTACTAATGGTTCATATGCTTGGTCAATAAAATGTCGATAGTTTCATATGAAGTCTGCCTTCTTTTCGTCAATTCTCTTGGATGTTGTCTTTTCACTAATTTTAGTTTTCTAACGCAAACTATTTTCATCTCTCTTTCAGTATCATATCTTGAGTCTTCACGTTCCTTCCTGGTCATTCAACGAATTTTCTCCTGTACCGTACATATAGCCTTACTTTTGTTTATGGAGTTAGTAAATCTGTTATACTTAAAGGTGAGTGAGTACTATTTAATTTTTCGAATTCATTATAATTTCTTATTGAACTATTATATTATTCACAGGATGCCAGCAGAACTTAGAGTAAGGAAAAATAAGGAGTTCTGAATCTCTCTCTCTCTCTCTCTCTCTATATATATATATATATATATATATATATATATATATATATATATATAATATATATATATCGCCAATGATTTTCCTGATTGCAGTAGACTGGATAATGCGACAGACAGCGGGCAATGAGGAAACAGACATAAAATGGATCCACACAAAACACTTGGAGGACCTGGACTTTGCCGATGATATATGTCTGATTTCCCACAAACTGGAAGATATGCAAGCGAAAAGCAACAAGTTGGCAGAAGAAGCATCAAAGATAGGACTTCATGTGAATATAGAGAAAGCTGCTACCTTGACGTGGTGGTCGGGCTTGAACACCGCAATGACCTAATCAAGCTATACTGGCTGAGACTTATGTCTCTTGAGGTTCTACCATGCCAGGCAGGTTGTTTGGATAGCGGTTAAACAAAAAGCAGCTACCCAATCCAACATCATGTCCAATACAAAATTACAAAATTTCATGCCGGATCGGCCGTGGCCCGGATTAACAACGACCGCGCTTCCTGCTGCCGTGTCACAGGGCGGGAGTGATAAATCTGCTACTGAGACACACCAAACAAAAAAGAACGAACAAAAACAGGCCGCGTGTGACCGGCCTCAAGCAGTTGTCCCCTGGGCTCTGCGGTCACGCAACCAACTTCCACGGTGTGGGCAGCCGGGAAGTAACAATCGCCCTCACAATCCGAAATGCACACGAAACCTCTCTATTACTCACTCATCTTTGTCTTCATCTTCATCTCTATCATCTTGCCTTCCTTCCACTGATGCAACTCCTCGACTTGATAGCTCTCCACTTCCTCTCCACTCTGCGTCCACTAAAAACGATGGAAGCCAAAAAACCACCACCGACAGCCTCTTAAAGCCGCGCCACCAATTTCATATAGGAGCTCTTAATGTTAGGACACTTTGCCAAATAGGACAACAAGCATCACTAGCCAAGACCCTGGCATCACGAGCCATTGATGTATGCTGTGTTTCAGAAACACGCATACAAGACCCAAGTGTGGTTATTCACCTAACCCCACCTGGCCAACAGGTTGAATCTGCAAAATTCACCCTGAGGGTGTCAGGAGATGCCACAGCTAGTTCACGAGGATTAGCTGGCGTAGGGATAGCTTTGAGTACTAGGGCAGAAAAGACATTGCTTGACTGGATCCCGGTAGATAGCCGAATGTGTGCTGTCCGCCTGAACGGATCAGTAAGAAGGAGGAAGGACTGCACTACTCGCCGATGCCTTTTCGTAATCTCCGCCTACGCCCCCACTGACTGCAGTTCAGATGAAACGAAGGATGAGTTCTACCAAAAGCTGTCTAGTTTGGTGGAAAGGCTAAACGCTCAGACATAGTCGTTCTAGCTGGTGACTTTAACGCTCAAGTAGGGAAATTGTGTCAATCTGAGAAGGATGTCGGTGGCACCTATGGAGCTCCGTGCCAGCGAACCGACAACGGTGACCGTCTCCTACAGTTCTGCTCTGATAATCATTTGTTTCTTGTAAGCACTAACTTTAAACACAAGGAGAGACACTGTTTGACTTGGAGACCCCCTTCATCAAACCAACGCTGGACACAAATAGACCACATAGCAATAAGCTATCGTTGGCGTGGGTCGGTAGGAGATTGTCGCTCCTTCTGGAACACGTGCGTAGATACCGACCATGCACTGGTCCGCGCTCGGGTGTGCTTACGACTGAACGGACGTAGGAAACAGCTGGCGGTAAAACCATCACGTCCCCAGCTCGATCAGGAAACTAAATCCGTATTTGAGGAAGAACTAGCTAAACACATATCTGTGTTCGACAGCTGTGCTCACCCTGAAGAAGCTTGGAAAAATATCCAGGCAGCCATAGATACAGCTGTAAAAGCTGTGAATAAGGTAAACCCAAAGGTGAGTAAAAACCACTGGATCTCCACCGCCTCATCCGAACTGATAGATGCTAGAAGACTTATTCCGGCGAGCTCCGAATTCAATGAGGAGCGAAAGCTGCACAAGAGGAAACTTACGAAAAGTCTCCGCAAGGACCGTGAACAGTGGTGGGCGACAAAAGCCAAAGAGATGGAGAAAGCTTTGAGGATAGGCAACACCAGGCAACTCTTTGGACTCATCAGGGAAACGGGTGGGAGAAGACAAATCATTAGTGAGACAATCTCGGAAAAAAATGGCACTATAATTAGCTCACAGGATAGACGACTGGATCGTTGGAAAGAGCATTATGAGGAGCAGTTTAATTTGCCCACAGCCACGCTCAACCTTCCGAGCATCCAACACCTCCCTGAATGGGATATAGACACAGGTCCTCCGTCACTAACTGAGGTTACTAAAGCTGTCACCAATCTGAAACTAGGCAAAGCAGCGGGACCTGATGGAATGACTCCAGAGGTATTTAAGTACGGTGGAGACAGCTTACTGTCCGGATTAACTGAGGTACTAGGCAGCGTCTGGGAATCAGAAGAAGTCCCATCGGGTTGGTGTAAGTCACTGATTATCCCCATATACAAGAAGGGAGACAAGTCTTCCTGTGATAATCACAGAGGGATTAGCTTGACTAATATAGTATCTAAAGTCTTAGGCTCAATAATCATGCGTAGACTGAGTGGTGCTCGGGAAGCACAAACACGAGAGAGCCAGGCAGGCTTTAGACCAGGAAGAGGGTGTATTGATCATATCTTCACCCTCCGACAGATTCTAGAACATAGGCATTCCTACCGGCGTCCAACAGTCATTATATTTCTTGACCTAAAGGCAGCATTCGACTCTGTCGATCGGGAAGTTCTCTGGAGATGCTTGGCTGTAAAGGGAATTCCAAGAAAATATATTGCACTGATTAAGGCACTCTATTCGTACTCATACAGCCAGGTGAGGGCTTACGGCGAGCTGTCATCTGAACTGATGACGACCAGTGGTGTCCGTCAAGGATGCCCATTATCTCCTTTTCTATTCAACTTCATCATAGATGTGTTAATGGACTTAACCCTAGGTGACTTCAGCGACTCAGGGATTGACTTGCTACCGGGAATAATCTCGTTGACTTGGAATATGCAGACGATATAGTCCTTCTAGGCGAAGACGCTGACGAAATGCAGAGTCTTCTAAACACCTTGAGCCGCAATCTACGAATGTTTGGCATGCGATTCGCTCCCGCCAAATGCAAGATGATGTTACAGGACTGGACTACATCGACGCCTAGTTTAAAAATAGGAAGTGAAGTGGTAGAGCACGTTGACCGCTTCACTTATTTGGGAAGTACCATCAGCCCCAACGGGCTGATCTCTGACGAAATCTCAGCACGAATACAAGGGGCTCGTTTCGCATTTGTTAGTTTACGCCGACTCTGGCGTAGACGAGATGTTCGACTATCGACCAAAGGGCGGGTGTACTGCTCATCAGTCCGCTCCGTCCTCCTTTATGGTTGTGAGACCTGGCCACTGAGAGTGGAAGACATGAAAAGACTAGCTGTCTTTGATCATAGGTGCCTGCGTTCTATTTCCCGTGTAAAGTGGCATAATAAGGTGAGCAACATGGAGGTTAGGCGTAGAGTTCTAGGTAAACAGGGGAAATCAATCGACGAAGTCGTGAAGCTACAAAGACTGAGATGGTTAGGACATGTGTTACGTATGCCAAGCCATCGCCTCCCTCGACGAGCAATGTTAGCGGATATAGGGTCAGGCTGGAAAAAAGCTAGCGGCGGTCAAACAAAAACTTGGCATCAGTCAATGAAATCCACAACAGTTGGTCTAAGCCACGTAGGAAGGTGTAGACTTCCAGGCTGGGGTCCTCGGGACGGTAAAAATCTATGGTTGGAAACAATTGGTGACATGGCTCAAAATCGTTCTCAGTGGCGCAGATGCATCCACTCCCTGTGACTTATGATCTCCAATGAAACTGTTTTGTATTTCTTTATTACTCCTTTGTCTCACACCTCTGCTCACTGTTTCTATTATGCTTTTCTTGTACTTTCTTCTCTTGCTTCGCGTGCTACACGGAATGTGGCGACTTGAACTTCCGCACATTTGTGCAAAGTTCTATGTCGAAAACAGACAGACAGATAGAGAAGGGAGAGGTGATGAAGATTCTTTGCCAACACCAACAACAGACAACAATCAGCGAGCATAAATGGGAGGAACCTGAAAGAAACAACCTCCGTTACCTATCTACCTGGGAAGCATCGTTTCAATTACAGGTGGAACTGACGAGGATATCAAAGCAGCAAGGATCGAGAAGGCAAGAAAAGCTTTCATTCCTCTCAAGTCTGTGTGGAGGTCAACAGCACTCTTCAGCATGAAAAATAAGATCTGGATTTTCAGCTCCAATGTGAAGTCAGTCACTGCTACTCACTATACGGATCAGAGACTTGGCCAGTGCGTCATGAAGAGCACCTCAAACAAACTACAGACCTTCATTAATAGTTGTCCTCGCTCAATACTCAAGATCACATGGCTGGCCAGAAAAGATCAGCAACAGGTATCTCTGGCAATGAGCGAACCACCCAACCAGGAACCGATTGTGAAACAAAAAGGCAGGAGGAAATGGAAATGGATTGGCAAGTGACATCACTAGACAAGCCATTTCTCGAGTGGAACGTGAAAGGAAAGCGGCTAGTTGGTCGTCAATGCAAGGGTGACTTGGAGGAGGTCATGTGAAAAGGAGATGAAAGTATGTGGGCATACGTGGAGCCAGGTGAAAACTCTAGCAGCGAACGGAACGCAATGGAGATTCGCGGTTGAAGCCCTATGTTCCTCTAGGAATTAAATGAAATAATATATATATATATCATCAGTTATCCATAAGCTTTAGTCGAACATAATCATTCAAAGTCGGATGCAGAAGTACACACTGTTTGCAGTGTTTAACAAAAGTAGACTAATAGTTGTAAATCTGTGATCACAGTTCATGCAGTTTCGTTTATTACTTTGATGTCTGTTCATGACTCATATGTTTGGAGGGAGTGTTTAAAGACAAGATTCGTCATTTTATACATCTATACCTTTGTTTTTTTTAATTTTGATTAATTTTCCTGTAGAATTTCGGACCGCTTTACTGACCAATAAGTGTTAGAATTACTTATTTCAGCATCTCTGAGACTTATACAAATAAAATTTTCACATCCGGTTACTTTTTCTTTAGTGCCAAATGTTTCTTTTTTTTAAACAAATAGGTTTAATCTTGATCAAAGCTCACATATATTTATCAGTACTTGTTAGTGAAAAAAATACGTGTATAAAACTGATACACTGTTTTTACCTTATAAAATGTATTTTTCCCCAAGGCTTTCTCGTTTGAGGATTTAGGGTACTTATGTGGTTTCCCTAGTTGATGTAATTGCGATCTATGCTGAAGATCAGGTGACCGGGACGGAAAGAATCACCAACAAGAAACTCTGATTGGGAACAAACAAAACAAAACAAGAACCGATCGCCCAACCAACAACAGATATGCAGGAGAAAGTGGATGGAGATGGATTGGACACTCGCTGAGGAGACCGCTGGGTGGCATCGCGCGTGGATCAGGCCATCGCTCGAGTGGAACCAGGTCAAAAGGGAAACGGCGAGTGGGACATCAGTGTAAGGGTGGGCGACATGGAGGAGATCGTGTGAAGAGGAGTTGAAACAGTATGGACTAACATGGATGCAGGTGAAAAGTACAGCAGAAGGAAGATAGCAGTGGCAAGTGGAGACGTGCAGTTGAAGCCCTATCTTCCACTAGGAACCCAAGGGAACAATAATAATAATAATTTAGTATGCTACATCCATCCTAAGGCGTTATACCGCTGCCATTGTAGATAGTTTAGAGACTTAGCGCATCATCAAAAGTATTTCCAATAAACCGCAGACTTGTCAACAACTATCTTTTGCTCCATACTGAAGATGAGATAAGTAGAAAGGATTAGCGACAAAGAACTCTTGGAATGAACCAACTAAGAACCTATTGTTCAAAGGATATGCAGATGGACTAGACACACGGTGAGGAGACCGTTGAGTGACATCATGCCCTAGCCCTTCAAGTGGAACTCGAATGAGAGAAGACTATTTATGCGTTCAAGTGTCACGTGGAGGAGGTGAGAGCTTATGAGAAGTCGTGGAGGAAGCTAGAGGGGACTGCAGGCAACAGGCCGAAACAGAGATGAGCTGTCGTAGTCCTATGTTTCACTCAGAACCCAGATACGCATTTTCTAATTCTGCGTTGATTTGTACTTTCCGTGAAAAAATCTAACATAACACTATATGATTTTAATGGTCATTCGAAGTTAAACAGTGTGATCATTGCTTTTATCTTATTATTAATGACTCATCTCTCTTTCATTTTTATCTTTCTTTTTGTCCGTAGAAAATATGTGATCGTATAACTTTATTGTCTATGTGTAAAGAATATCGTTATATTCAACGTACTGGATCTCGTAGTAGTATGATTCTTTCAGGATTTGCTAGTTTTTCTGGTGATAGTTCAAATTTCTTTAATTCTGCAATCGGTGGTACAATAATGGATCGTTTATATACACTGATTTTCTTTATGACATTTCAATTACAAGTAAGTGATTTATGTAACGTCAGGTAGTATTACAATCATTCTCATCATCAAATGAAAACCTTATTTGGATGTTGTGGATAAATAAAATGTGTGTGGATAAAATGTTTTTTCGAAAAAAGTTTTTATTTATCTTACATTTTCTGTCTGTCTGTTTTCGACATAGAACTTTGCACATGTGTGCGGCAGTTCAAGTCACCACACTCCACTTCTCGTAGCACACAAAGCAAGAGAAGAAAGTAAAAAGAAATGCATAGTGGAGACAGTAAACAGAGGTGTGAGACAAAGGAATAGTAATAACGAAGAACAAAACAGTTTCATTGGAAATCATAAGTCACAGGGAGTGAATGCATCGGCGCCAGCCATTGAGAATGAGGATTTTGAGCCATGTCACCAATTGTTTCCAACCATTGGTTTTTGCCGTCCCGAGGACCCCAAACAGGAAGTCTACACCTTCCTACGTGGCTGGCTTAAACTAACTGTTGTGGATTTCATTGACTTGTGAAGCCATGTTTTGGTTTGACCGCCGCTAGCTAGCTCTTTTCCAGCCTGACCAATCCTATGTCAGCTAACATTGCCTGTCAGTCGAGGAAGGTGATGACTAGGCATACGTAGCACATGTCCTAACCATCTCAGTCGATGTAGCTTCACAGCCTGGTCAATTGGTTTCCCCGCCTTACCTAGCACTCGACATCTAACCTCAATATTGCTCACCTAATTATACCACTTCACACGGGAGATAGAATGCAGACACCCATGATCAAAGACAGCTAGCCGGGATTTTCATGTCTCCCACTCTCAGTGGCCAGGTCTCACAGTCATAAAGGAGGACGGAGCGGACTGATGTGCAGTACACCCTCCCTTTTGTTCGATAGCCAGCCGAATATCACGTGTACGCCAAAGACGGCGTAAACTGGCATATGGGAAACTAGCCCTCTGTATCCGTGCTGAGATTTCGTCGGAGATAAACCCGTTAGTTCTGATGTGTATTACAAACGGAGGAATAAGTTTAAGTAGTACATCAGAAAATCTAAATAACGAAATGAAGCAGATAGAAGAAGCGTTTGTGTTAAATAACTATCTCGTATTATTCATTTAGAAGATTGTAATGAAAGTCCACAAGATAAAGAAAAACAGTGGTGAGACTATTGATCTTGAGATAAATACGAAGGAATTCAAAGAATCTGCAGTCTTACCACATAAAGAAGGGAGATCTGAAACCCTACGTAGGATTCCTAATAGATCATGGATTGGGGTGACATTCTAACCTACGAACTCACTTAGAGACAAGCTCTGTGTAGGCTAAAGAACCGTGTCGACCCCAATTAGACAAAATAATATAATCTATAAAATAACCTGCAATGACTGTGAGGTCAGTTACATAGGTCAAACCAGTAGATCGCGGGTAGTTGGATTGTCAGAACATACGAATTTAGCTAAATGTGGAACGATTGGTCCCTCGAAGGTGAATAGTGTAAAGATGCACTCAGCAATCTCAATGGATGCATCAACACACAATCATACAGTAGGGGGTGGGACAGAGCTGCACTTCTGAAAAGTGTGATGGATAGGTGGAAGCAGAGGTTAATCACTAAATCTTTGTCCATCGAGTCGACGCCTGTCACGTGCAATAAAAATGACGTCATGCCAATACCGGAGTTGTGGGGAATATTACTGCCAATAAAAACCAAACGATAAGGAGTGATGGAAGTATATAGAACGAAGTTGGAAAGTTATGTGAATGCCTTGATATAATTGTGAGCAATAAGTTGTGCTTGCAACGTCGTCAGTAAATAATGGTGTATCTTTATGTACTCTTATCAATCAATCAAATAAATTTATTCTACTCTTATGTCATCCCATCTGAGTTGTTTTTTTATCAATTTTTTGCTGTTTTTTGTTTTTTCGGTACCTCTCTCTCTTTCTCTTTATCTGTCTGTGTTTTCATGAAAATATACTAACATAGTGGAGTTTGTTGGCCACATTATCTGCTAATTACTGGATTGGAAATGTTATAAATGCCTTCTCTGTGGCATTCTTATATGCATGTTATGCATTTGAATATCGTTGGAGGCAAGTTGCCGGTAAGTAAGTTGACTTATGCGTATATATATATATATATATTCTTATTTCTTTACCTTCCCCGAGAAACATAGGGCTTCAAACTAGAGCTTTGAGGTCTCAGTGGTTGGAGTGTTTATTCTTACGGGGTGGGGTTGCTAGCCTCATGCTCAACCTCCCCTATTTGCCGGTCTCGTTATTAGCTTCGAGAAGTAGAGGGGTACGTCGTCGACCAGGGCTCAAACCCCGGGCATTCTATCACTTAGCCACCGACGCACATATATGTAATAATTACATAGTGCTTATTTGAATGTTGTGGAAGTATAATATTATTCCAGGTGGAGATGTGACTGTAGAATTTGATATCCTGTCAGTTGGTCTGGGATGCAAGTCATGCTTCATCCACTTCAGCCCATACACAATAAGTGTGGCTCATAGCGTATTTTACTTGTAATGTGAAAAATATCACACAAATGTTTTTGCATTGACACTAAGAATAAAGCGTCACGTCAATTTGCTTTCATTTAATAGTCACTAGGGTTTTACGCATTCGCGCAGTTTAGAATCTGTTCAGTGTAATTCTGGGAACAATTTGTGCGTCGGATTTTATAAATTCTGTTTTTCTTCCACAATTATCACAGAGCGTCAGTCAATTGATTTACTCTATGCGGAAGTGTAGGTCATTGTCGTAGGCACTCGACTTATAGTCAACTAGAGAAAACAGAGGTGATGAAGATTCCTGGCCAACACCAACAACAGACAACAATCAGCCAGCATAAATGGGAGGAACCTGAAAGAAACAACCTCCGTTACCTACCTACCTGGGAAGCATCGTTTCAATTACAGGTGGAACTGACGAGGATATCAAAGCAGCAAGGATCGAGAAGGCAAGAAAAGCTTTCATTCCTCTCAAGTCTGTGTGGAGGTCAACAGCACTCTTCAGCATGAAAAATAAGATCTGGATTTTCAGCTCCAATGTGAAGTCAGTCACTGCTACTCACTATACGGATCAGAGACTTGGCCAGTGCGTCATGAAGAGCACCTCAAACAAACTACAGACCTTCATTAATAGTTGTCCTCGCTCAATACTCAAGATCACATGGCTGGCCAGAAAAGATCAGCAACAGGTATCTCTGGCAATGAGCAAACCAATCAACCAGGAACCGATTGTGAAACAAATAGGCAGGAGGAAATGGAAATGGATTGGCAAGTGACATCACTAGACAAGCCATTTCTCGAGTGGAACGTGAAAGGAAAGCGGCTAGTTGGTCGTCAATGCAAGGGTGACTTGGAGGAGGTCATGTGAAAAGGAGATGAAAGTATGTGGGCAGACGTGGAGCCAGGTGGAAACTCTAGCAGCGAACGGAATGCAATGAAGATTCGCGGTTGAAGCCCTATGTTCCTTTAGAAATTAAAGGAAATAATAATAGTTTAAGTTTCGAATCCAGTAGATTTCTGAGAAGAAATCCAGAACGATAATTGTACTCAAACTTTCGATTGAATAAATCAAACGTTTAAGTTACGCGTAAAATCTCAAACATTGGATATGTCTAAACTAATGTACCATATTATTTTATAAAATAATAAATATATAGTATACAAACCTTAAATTGTAAGGAGTCTACGCTTGAATTCCGTTAAATGCACTTTCAGTGTGCTTAATAAGAAATAACAGCTGAGCTATGTCAAAGGCGACCTACGGTCATTATTAAACACCGTGCCAATGTCTGGATAAAGGGATTAGAATAAAAAATGCTCAGCACAGATTGGAATATGAATAAAGCATGCACGGCAGATACGTTTAACTATGAGATGATAATTACTGTAGATCAAACAGAATGTATATACATTAAGCGAGATAAATTTCAATGGGAGCCACCACTTATGGTTAGGAAGTGGCGACACAATAAGCAAAATATAAACTCATACTAAAGTGATCGGAGACGAACGGCTTTGTATCTCTATATAGCCAAATTATGTACACCTAATCTTCAACGCACCATTCGCACAGATCTTCCGTGTTGTGCTAATTTTGGCCTTTATCTTGTCTTTCTTGGTGTTCCTTTCGCTGTATCACTTAATTTCTCTGAAATCAGATCGATGTCCCTGCTATTTAATGTATTTATGCCGACGAACGTCCCTTTATATACTACTGATAAACCTTGTCAGTAGCACATACCACAATTCTACTTGTAATTCGTATAGAATTAAATACAAAAGAAATAGATAGATAAGGAAGGAATTAAAACAAGCATTACTTTTGTCTTTTAAAGGTTGACGGTACAGAAGTTCGCGAACTGTACGGAGTATATTAACGCAATATCCTATACCAACAACTTCTGTCTTATTTGTTTCTCGTGTACCAAAGGCAAAGCAAAACATCACAACTGATTGTTCAAATTACTAGATATATTTTGGAACCAAATCGCAGATTAAAGCGGAAGCTAAGCTAGCTAGTTATCGTGCACTAAAGTGATACGACGGAGTACCAAATGGCGGGGATGCTTGACGGGAAGCCTTCGGCTAAACCAGTCGACTTAAACTCTAATGGTCAGCATCCAATGTTCACTGATGATTCTTATGGTCACGATGTAATTGTTCTCTTAGACATAATCTGTTTCTATGGTCAATAATTTTGGGGAATTATTTACCGCCATAGTCTTATACTTGATGATATTAGATGGTTAAAGGCAATCGGCAGAAAGCCTTGGACCTAGGTTTCGTGCTAGTTGGCACTAGTTGCAAACCTGACTGATAAAATTCAGTCTGCACCAAAGAAAGGACTAGAAACGTCACACTAGTTACTAGTGTCCAATCAAAACAGTCTTATACTATCAGTTTAGCAGAATACTATTCCAACTTTAAACTGTCTTATTTTGAAAATACTATTCTTATTACACCTGATACACCCGAACATAAAAACCTAGCAAAATCTAGATTGGTTGACCCAAATAAGATAAAAAAATCTAGAGAATGGTTCAGCTATAGCACTACATCCAATTACACACAACCACACAATAGGAGTGTGGCGACTTGAACTGCCGCACTTATGTGCAAAGTTCTATGTCGAAAACAGACAGACAGATAGACAAACACAATAGGATGGGATAAGAAGACAGTTTTAAAATCTAATGTCACAGGGTGAAGGGAGGGAGAGATTGATAACAGAAGCTTTGTTTATCGAATCAACTGCAAATACGTGTAATAGGAATGATTCAACACCTAACCCAGATATCTAGAAAATTCTATTACCCCAATGATGACAAATAGGAGAGGACAAAGAAAACTATAAAATTCAAGTTACAAAGTCGTGTGATTACAGTTGATATGGTTATGAACAATAAATTTTGTTCGAAACGTCAATGTCCAGTAAATAATACTGTTTCACTGTGTGGTACATCTAATAAACAAACTAATATGGAATTACGAAACTACTTCGATAATGCCGTCTGGCAGTTATACAAACCAAAAGTTTCTCAAGTGAAAAATGCTGTACTGTACTGTACTAACCCAACATAATCTTAAGGTACTTGAGAATAAATTAGAATATTCAACAACAAGGTGGAATCGAAATTATTCCTGTAAGGCGCAAACTGTACAAAAAACACGTCTTCTCTAGACAGTCCAAGCAAGACAAGCAGTCACTTGGAAACGTAACTTTGAATTCTCTGAAACCAAATCGTAGTCATACAAGAATAGATTTTTATCAACACAATAGCAAATAGAATCATTAAAATAGGGATCAACCGAAAATAAAGGCAATTAATATAGATTAAGTCAAAAAGTGGTGATATACAAATATTATTACTGTTTCTTTGGGTTCCTAGTGGAACATAGGGCTTCAGCTGCACGTCTCCACTTGCCACTGCTGTCTTCCTTCTGCTGTACTTTTCACCTGGATCCATGTTAGTCCATACTGTTTCAACTCCTCTTCACACGATCTCCTCCATGTCACCCACCCTTGCACTGACGTCCCACTCGCCGCTTCCCTTTCGGCCTGTTTCCACTCGAGAAATGGAGTGACACGCGCGCGATGTCACCCAGCGGCCTCCTCAGCGAGCGAGTGTCCAATCCATCTCCATCCACTTTCTCCTGCATATCTGTTGTTGGTTGGGCGATCGGTTCTTGTTTTGTTTTGTTTGTTCCCATATTTGGTGATTGTTTCCGGCCCGGCCATCTGATCTTCATTCAGTATAGAGCGATAGTTGACAGTTAGTTGTTGATAAAGGTCTGCAATAGCCAGCCTGTTGGAAATATTCTTTGTGACCCGCCCGCCCGCCCGTCAAGTTTCTGATCCGATCCGTATAGAAGAACTGACTGACTGACTTGATGTTGTTTGTATTGAAAATCCGAGTGGATTTTGTTGTTGAGACTGGCTGAGTGACGAAGATTTCCAGATTGGTTGTTTCAGGTTGACAAATGTGTTTCTCGCCTTCCCGATTCTCTTTCGATTTGACATCCTCATCCGTTCCTCCGTTCCTGTAGTTGAGACACTGCTCCCTAGATAAGTGAATGAAGTAACCAACCTCTTTGAAGTACCTCCCGTTGATGGTGATTGACGCTGGATGTTGCTGTTGTTGTTGTTGGTTGGTCATTCTCATAACCTCCGTCTTGTCTATGTTCACCTGGAATCCTGTCTTCGCTGGCTGCTTCTTCAACCAGTTTGTCGGTTTTCGCTTGTAAGTCTTCGGCTTTTTTGTGACATCAAACATAAATCATCCGCGAAATTCAGGCGCATTAGCTATATAAAATGGCAAAAAGATGCAACTACTGTATATGTTTTCGAACAGATGCAAAACAAACCTGGATACAAAAGGTTAAATATTCGCGAAATCCAGGTCTTCTAGGTTCTTCACGGTGGTCCAGAACCTCTACAAATATTAGGCCAATGATAAGCACGTCGAAGGAAAAGAACAGTGATCACAGTATAAGTCTAGTAAGTATCAATATAGGTTGTGTATGGTAGAATTTTCAGGTAAATTATTCTGTCACACTCTAGCCGTACAGTTTTTAATCAGTTGTCTTCCATGGCGACATTTTAGAATTGCTACTTTAGTTCACAAAAATCGATTGAAGATAGACGTTGTTTTATAGTCAGTGAATCTTATCTTCCGAATGAATAAACGGAATACAGCTTTAGAAGGTTTTTCTAGTTGATGAAATTTTTTCCCTCACACTTATCCACCGGATATAATTACTTGATTCATTTTTGTATATAGTAGACACGAAAAATACATTCATTAGTCACTTTATATCTCCCAAACGTTTTACGGTATTTGTTTTATTAACATTCTGTAGGTACAACATTTGAAGGTTTTCTAGCACAGATAGTCGACAACTGGACCTATTTCCTTGGTTACGGTCTACCATTGGGATGCTCTTCCATTATATTTCCACATTTTATTGGTTGGGGTGGTGTTATCCTTGCTATTGGTTATCCCGTGTTAGTAATTGGTGCGCTTGGTAGTCGTTGGCGTCCATTTGACGATAGAATCAATGTTAAGGACGAGTGGAAGATATTACGTCTTCTACGATATTGCCTGATCATCTCTTTACGACCAGCTCTTTGGGTTTCAAATCTACTTGTACAAACTGGTGCATGGATTGTTTATCAATTTTGGCTTCGACAAAACTATCCAACAGAAGATGCTGGTGGTGATCGCAGACGATTTTAAGTCTCCTTTTTACTTTTCATTGTTGTTTTACACCCCTTTTTTGTCTGTTGTTTATACTTCCTGTTGTGATTTCCTGAATTTTTTTATCGTCTTTTCCCCGAGTGTATTTTGCTGCGCTGTAAATTCAATTTATAGGGGGTGATGGATTCATTCACTGATACATTGGGTAAACCAAATAATTACCAATTGCTGCTTTTTTTGTTGTTCTTGCTGTTGTTGTTGTTGTATTTTTTTCGAAATATTCTCCTCTACTCTATAATGCTTCCACTGCTTTATTCAGATTTCAAATTTGTATTTTATTTGATAAACATTTGCATGATGTCGGCATAGGTGTCATCATCAGTATGAATTGCATAATCTGAGCAAATACTTGCCTATTATTTTATCGCCTTCAGTAGTATGTGTCTTCATCTATCCTCAGTGCCAAAGCCTCTTTGTCTCTTTTCCTCTGTCATACTAATATACCTTATTAGGATATATATATATAGTTTATATTGGTGTAAAATCAGTTGTGTTTAGTAACCTTCACTTTGTCTTTCCCTGATTCCATTGTCTATTTGTTTGGTTTAATATGGTCTGCTTTTATTTATTTATTTTGTTTTTTGTGAACAGATTTTTTCAATATTTTCTGATGTGTATTATATTTCTAACTAAATAATTTGCTGATAGGCATAATTATTCTTAACATAACATAACATAACACGCCGATCCCCCCCGTCACCCCCCGGAAGAATACTTTCATTAATACTTAATTGAGTATATATTCGGTATCATCATTGTTATCTACTGTCGCATTCATTACGTACTGATTACTTATTATTGTTATTATTATTACGTTGGAAAAGTTGAAGCCGGTGTCTGTCTGTCTGTGTGTGTGTGTGCATGCGTGCGTGTGGCTGTGGCTGTACCAATGTGATTCATGTATAAAGTTCTTCATTGTGTTTAAAATTATGTGAAAGGAATGCTTGATCAGAGAACAAAAACAAACAGTACTGTTGTATATGCATATGTGAGATTCCCTTTTCTGCATCCTAGCTAAATAACAATACAGTTTTTGACATATATTGTATCTAATATGCTTTCCTTATTGATTTTTCCTTATTATTTCATATGCACCCACAGCCTATTGGGTGGTGTTAACTAGAAGACAATAAGACGTAAAAGTTCATAAATATAAGTGGAGATTATTATTATAGTGTTGTTATTGTTCCCTTGGGTTCCTAGTGGAAGATAGGGCTTCAACTGCACGTCTCCGCTTGCTTCTGTCTTCTGCTGTGCTTTTCACCTGCATCCATGTTAGTCCATACTGTTTCAACTGCTCCCTCTTCATACGATCTCCTCCATGTCACCCACCCTTGCACTGATGTCCCACTCACCGCTTCCCTTTCAGCCTGTTTCCACTCGAGAAATGGCCTGACGCGCGCGCGATGTCACCCAGCGGCCTCCTCAGCGAGCGAGTGTCCAATCCATCTCCATCCACTTTCTCCTGCATATCTGTTGTTGGTTGGGCGATCGGTTCTTGTTTTGTTTTGTTTGTTCCCATAGTTGGTGATTGTTTCCGGCCCGGCCATCTGATCTTCATTCAGTATAGAGCGATAGTTGACAGTTAGTTGTTGATAAAGGTCTGCAATAGCCAGCCTGTTGGAAATATTCTTTGTGACCCGCCCGCCCGCCAAGTTTCTGATCCGATCCGTATAGAAGAACTGACTGACTGACTGACTTGATGTTGTTTGTATTGAAAATCCGAGTGGATTTTGTTGTTGAGGCTGGCTGATTGACGAAGATTTCCAGATTGGTTGTTTCAGGTTGACAAATGTGTTTCTCGCCTTCCCGATTCTCGCTCGATTTGACATCCTCGTCCGTTCCTCCGTTCCTGTAGTTGAGACACTGCTCCCTAGATAAGGGAATGAAGTGAAGAAATTCATTACAATTCTTCCTATTTAAATAAAGCAATAACGACAAATGTGTGTACCAGGATGATTGATAGGAGGTTATCTTTTATTATTTCAAGGATTCTCCTCAACTGGCGACAACCTGAACAAAACCAAAAATATATTGGTCACTACATTAAAGATTTGAGAAAACTTTTTCCATGATGAGAAGGAATAATTGATAGGAATGAAGAGAAATATAAGTCCAGAATGGTGTAAGTTGTTAAATTATTAAGATTTAAAAAGATTTAATTGAATTCTAGATTTTCCCGTCGATTGATTGGACCCAAGTGCTCGGTTTCAGGTTGACATGTCGGCTTGTTGTGTAGATGCTTCGACTATGTCTGGGCATTTAATTAGTATTTAATTGATCGATGGTGATAATCAGTGGAATCCAGGATGCATCACTCACTAAGAAATGCAGGTACACCCAACTGACGAGTCCGAAATAGGACGAAATGTTCATCCTGGATTTCACTGCTAGTCACTATCCACCAATTAAATACTAGTTAAAAAGATTGACGATTTATAGGCTGATTAGATGAATATTCTTGAGAAGAAAGAGGCAGAGTTCAGAATTTTTTTCGACTAGAAACAGTTGAACTAGAAAGAGCATATCAGTACAATAGGTTACGCAACTACAGAAAGTGATTTTATAAAATAGTAAAAAAATGGGTAGAGGGAGCAGTTTTCAGATGAAACAATAAAATATTCTAAATAGGACCGAAGATATAGGGGAGAGCACATGATGTAATAGATTTGTATACTTTGTGTTTATGTAAGCTTAATCACCAAGGTAGTGTAAGGTTCTCCATTGTCCCTCACTGTGTACATAGGATTGGTTTTAGTAGTTTGATGGCGATTACCTCAGCTAAAATGAGCAAGCCAGGTTTCTTTAGCCTGTTGATTAATTATTTTGAACGTCTACAGATTGTCCACAGAATGATCAGTGTCCAATAATTAGTGCATAATCGCATTATTTAATGTCTGTGAGCCGTTTATTCTGAGGTTCTTTGTTATGGGTTTAGAAATGCGGACAAAACCGTTCTCTCTGCTGTTTTTATGTATTTGCTTTGTCATGTTCATGTGTCAGTTTGTAAACATAGTTGAAGGTAACATAAGGTGGGAGTTTGTCCACTTTTGATTGTAGTAAACCAGTGGTTATTTGATAAATACATTCGTACTGGGCAGCTGGTTGTGGTTTTTTCAGGGCAGCATTCAGTCTGCATCTTATTCTACTAGCAATTTCACCACCTTTGAAGGCGGGCTGTAGAAAGGTAGACTTCTCTGTCTGCTGTGCTGCAATTCACTTTTTCAACAATACGTTATCCATGTTTATCGATGATCTTCTGTGGGCAACCATAATTTTGGTCCATCATCTGTAAATATCTGTCAATGAGTAACGTACTTTAAAAATTATTTCAACTCAAATGGCTTTTAATAATCCTTGATAAAGTAATGGAACAGGAGTTATGAACAAAGGATAATTATTAACTGCACAACCAATGTTTATTTATATATAACATGATGGAAATTTCGAAAGGAGAGGACAAGAGTGAAAATAGAAGGTAAATTAAAGTGATTAGTTACAAGATTGAATCATGAAACATTGGAACGCTTGTTTGGAACCCTTCATCACTACGCACCCACCGGGGTTCGAACCAAGGACCTTACGGTTGCAAGGCGACTTCGAAGGCCTGCAAACCAACACTTGAATATCGAAATGATGCTCACTAGCGACTTTCCCTATTCAGGTAGGTAGTGTTCCAGGTTCTAGTGAGAGGTCGTGACCAGCGGGGTACAACAGGTCGGGTGTGAGGACAGATACTCACTCATAACATTGGCCAGTGGTTGCTCTATATTGTGAATTGACAGAAGTTGGAAATCATGGACCACTGTATTGGGTCACAGTGGTATAATGGTCTACAAGTTGGCCTTTTCACCGGAAGGTCCCGGGTTCGAACTCTGGCAGTGGGTGCGCTCTGATGAAGTGTCCCAATCTAGGACAAAACAGCTATCCGGTACTCCTTGGGTTTTTCAATGGTTACCTAACCAATGTCTGTTCATGATGAAATCCTGTAACCAGTCACATGAAATCCCTGAAAACAAACACTTAAATTAAGGTAAAAGACTACTTAGATAAAGGGTTAAGTAATTTGGAAGATAAGTCATGATTTTGGCAGGGTCAGTGGAAATTTTAAAAAAGGTGTGATGCATTAAAATACAATATCTAAATGCGACAGCGATCTAGTTTTATGAATGGATCCTATTTTGAAACAGAGAGTTCATGTCATATTTTCAGTCTTATGATAATTTAAGCGATTTTTTAAGACGGGAACTGAAAAACTAGGAAAAGTATTGGACAGTTGTTCGATTTCAGCTTCCAATCGCATTAATCCTGGTCCCAAGATCTAGTTTAGAAGTGTTAGTTTCTTCATAAACCTTTCAAAATCAAAGATTTTATCCTACAATAACTATATGATTCCAGCAGAATTAATTCTAAATAGTCACCAGGTGAAATTCATTCACTATTCTCATTAGGCTATTAAAATGAATTTTACAGGCTCATTATTATTTTAGATGACGTTTACATGAATAAACATTTTGTCACCACCGTCTAGAAATTGCAGTTCTTACTCAAATACTTTTGATTAATGTATTCGTCAGTAAAACTAATTTATTTCCCATCTGTCAATCAGAAGGGGTTGTGATTATTTTTTTTTTCATTCTCAACAATAAAATGAGTGATTAGGACAGGATTTGATCGGAGAAGGAAGATTAATGATTTGTTGAATGATTATGACAGATGTCAGTAGAATGTTTTGTAAAATGAGAATTTTTATACGATAGTATTAGACTTACTCAGTATTTTTATTTCATCAAATAAATCACTTTTTCCTTTAGATCAAGTGATGTATTATGTCTATAAACTCCCTTTAGTATCATTATTATTATTGTTTCCTTGGGTTCCTAGAGGAACATAGGGCTTCAACTGCACGTCTCCACTTGCCACTGCTATCTTCCTTCTGCTGTACTTTTCACCTGCATCCATGTTAGTCCATGCTGTTTCAACTCCTCTTCACACGATCTCCTCCATGTCACCCACCCTTGCACTGACGTCCCACTCGCCGCTTCCCTTTCGGCCTGGTTCCACTCGAGAAATGGCCTGACACGCGCGCTATGTCACCCAGCGGCCTCCTCAGCGAGCGAGTGTCCAATCCATCTCCATCCACTTTCTCCTGCATATCTGTTGTTGGTTGGGCGGTCGGTTCTTGTTTTGTTTTGTTTGTTCCCATAGTTGGTGATTGTTTCCGGCCCGGCCATCTGATCTTCATTCAGTATAGAGCGATAGTTGACAGTTAGTTGTTGATAAAGGTCTGCAATAGCCAGCCTGTTGGAAATATTCTTTGTGACCCGCCCGCCCGCCAAGTTTCTGATCCGATCCGTATAGAAGAACTGACTGACTGACTGACTTGATGTTGTTTGTATTGAAAATCCGAGTGGATTTTGTTGTTGAGACTGGCTGAGTGACGAAGATTTCCAGATTGGTTGTTTCAGGTTGACAAATGTGTTTCTCGCCTTCCCGATTCTCGCTCGATTTGACATCCTCGTCCGTTCCTCCGTTCCTGTAGTTGAGACACTGCTCCCTAGATGAGTGAATGAAGTAACCAAGCTGTTTCAAGTACCTTCCGTTGATGGTGATTGTCGCTGGATGTTGCTGTTTTTGTCATAGAAAATCAAAACAGGTGATTCAGCGAAGAGACTCTTTTCAACGAATTTACTAACGAGCTGTACAGTCGTATATATGTGGATTTTAAGAAGTTATATCCGGTTAGGGAATTGAATCATAGGTGTGAATGCATAAAATAATAATAATAATAATAATGTGAGATGCAATTAAAACTAAAATGTTTGTGATTATAATCATAGTTAAATGTCAAGTGGCTGTTGTTGTTGTATAATTCGGTCAAAATGTTTGTCACAATACACAAAGACTACCCTTTGAGAAGACAGATTCTGTAGCAAAGATTGGTTTCATTATTAAATTACCATTCAAGTATGATCAAATCATGCAAATGACAGCTCACAGGCTTCGGTCAACTACCAATGTCACGTTATATACCGCATCCATTTCCCACATATCTCGAACATTTTCAGTTCTTGTGCCTAAATACAACTGAAGGAAGAAATTCTATGGACTCTCCTTCCCACAGTATAATCCCACTTGCCGTTGCGGAGATACATAGGTAGAACCAATAGGAAGTTCCGTTGTCATCGGGAAGAACATGTTTCTAAATGGTTATTAAGTCACATAAAAAATCCAAATGTACTTAATCTGAATAGAAGTCCAGAGTCATCCATTGCTAAGTATTTATTATTGTTTGATCACAAAATCAATATTGATGACTATTTCTCAATGATTTCACATAACTTTAATTCAAGGTTGGTAATGATGACGGTGGCCTAAAATTATGTGTACAGAAAACAATATACTTCACCTTTTGCTTACTAGTGGACTATTTGACCTAGTAAAATACGATTTGTTATTCATATGAACTTTTATTTTATATCACTGATTAATTGTCAAACGATTTGTTTTATTATTGTAAATTATGCTAGTTGTAAAGCGATAGTAAAGAAACTATGGGATGACATCATCTTAGTGGATTTGTCTGCTTAATGCTTGATTTAAAATGTTTAGTTGATTTATAACCAGTCTATTTGTGTTTTAGTGTAATTTCTGATATTTGATTTTAATAAATATAATTTTATGTATATGACTTTGACTTATAGTTGGTAAACGTTATTATAAATAAATGATCTAGTTGTACATCCGCTGCTGAATTCCTACTGATCTCACACTGAAATCTACACATTCGTTCTTCATTGCTTACTATTTATTCAGAAAATGTCATTATTGGGACATTTAGTCTCCTCTGAAGTTGGGTTAGTGGGTTTGGCTTCGTTACAGAACAGAACTTCACTAATAAAAGAGATTTAATATATTTGTGCGTTGAAGTTTCTGTAGCGATTTGGTTAAGTTTTGAGGATCGAGTTGTTAGCACTACGGTGTGGCATTAAGCCGTAATGAAAATAACTTAAAAAAACTAAATAAAGTATTTGTGTTCAATTACTGAATCTATTTTTAAAAAGCTACTGGTTAAGAATAATAAAAAAATTGGTAGATGTAATAGCATTTCCGCCATTCACACAAACTATGAAAAAGCTGGAAAGAATTAGATTGATTACATACATATTGAAAGGGGGAAACTAACTGATGAGAACATTTAACAAATTATTAAAAAAAAAGGAAAGTAGTTCAGTCATGTTGCTAATTAAAAACGCATCGATTTTGGTCTAATTAACAAGAACGGCATTTTTCAGAAAGTTTAGGTAAAAACTGTATACCTACTAATGAGTAGCATAAGTCTCTGCAGGAAAAGGTTTAAAGTTTTTTTCTTTCGAAAACTGCATTGAAATAAAATTAAATTTGTGAATAATAATAATAGTAATAGGAAGAATCATGTTTTCGAATACTCACTCAGTGATAGAGTTATGTACTGCAAGAGTTTAGCATCCTAGTACTTCCATATTATATACTGTAGAGGAAAAATTATGAAAAGGTAAGAGTTAACAGTGATCGAATTCCCAGTGTTGCATAAGTCTACAGTACAGCATTTAACTGTAAATTGTACAGATTTCAGACTCCAGTAAAACCAGTTAGACACAGTCTTACAGTGTTTTACACATTGTCTTGTAGTAATTCCTCCCGAAAAGTAACGCCAATATTCTATCGTCTGAAAAGAAAGAATGCAAGAGAATATTAGATTAGTATAAAGTTTTCGTGTAATTAGGTTCATTTAAAATCACAGGGTAAAATAGCTTCAAAAAAACGTTATTCTGTGTTTAAATCAGTAAGCTCTATACTAGAGACCTGCATTCTTTCCATTAAGTTGGCAGATTGCGCATGTGGACTACTCTCTGTTCGACTGCGGTCCTTTCATTATCAGTCTAAAGCACAGACATGAAAGTGAATGATGAATTATTTTCGTAGTCGAAGCTGCTGTGTCATTACTGAACTCCTTATACGAATTTGCATAAATTTATATACTACTTATTGGCTGAGATGTGATCGCATACCATTCATATGGATCAAAAATTCTTGCTAGCCAGATTGAAATGATCTAGACACCGGACGGCAATTTCGCTCCTCTTTGACCAAGATCATCACTTGTGTGCCCAGTTTGACTCAGCTCGGAGTCCCGAGTAAATTCAATCCAACCTATTGCTGGCTAGCTACTTGTTTGAACTATTATTATTCCCTTGAGTTCCGAGTAGAACGTGGGGTTTCAAAAATGCATCTCTACTTTATTCTATTTTCTGCTATCCCCTTTATTAGATGGGCCCACGACTGCTCATGATCTGTCATCGCCTCGCCACACGATCTCCTCCATGTCATCCCCCCGCCGAAAACCAACTCGTCGCTTCCAATTGGGTTTTCCACTCGAGCGATGACCTGCATTGCACTCGATGGCCTTCACAGTGTGTGCTTTATCCAGCTCCATTTTCTCCCACATATTTTCTGAGTAATAGGTTCTTGGTTGGTTTGTTCCATTGCAGAGTTTCTTTCTTGTTGTTAATTCTTTTTGGCCAGCCATTTGATCTTCCGTATGGATCCAGAAAAGGTGGCAGCTGTTGATAAAATTGTCCAGTAGCCTGTTCGAAATACTTTTCGTGAGACGAGCGCCAAATTTCTGACCTTTATAGAAGAAGTGACTAGCTGACATAACATTTATCTTGAAAATTCGAATCTTGTTCTTTATTCTGAGGCAGAATAATGCAGAAGATTTCCAAACTGGTTTCAGGTTGATGACCGTGTATCCTGCCTTTTTGATTCTGACTGGCTCTGATATTCGTTCATTCGTTCCGCTTGTAGTTGAAATGATGCTTCTTAGCCATATAAGTGAAGGAGGTCACTTCTGTTAAATCTTGATGGTGGTTGGTGCTTGTTGTCGCTATTGATGTTGCTTGGTTATCTTCATCACCTGCATCTTCTCTAAGTTCACCTGCTTATACCAAAAGTCAAATTCACAATTTGCGAATTAGTTAGCAATTTGCAATCTACAAAGTTATTGAAAATTATTGGAATTATTGAAAAGAATATTCTTCGTTCAGATTGACTTTTAATTCATAAAGTGGGAATATTTCACACTATCAAATCTTACAAAGTTAGTGTTGAAATTTCACTATAATCTCATTTGTAAATGAAGTTATTCAGATCAAAATATGTGATCTGCTTGCTACCATCAGTGGTGATCAAAAAAGCAAGCATATCTGCATAAAAGTATATACTATTAAGTGACTAAAATGAGCATCACTCATTACTATCAATCAGAAGTATATAGTTTTATGCAAATTTGCTAAACTTCTTGATTATTATTCATGGTATTAAGCAGATCACATATTATGACCTGAATAATTTGCTTCCCAAAGGAAACTGTTGTAAAATTTCACCACTTGAACTGCGTAGATTGAAAATAGTTAACCAATTTGCAAATTGTGAGTTTGATTTGATTATATGAGCCACTCCGTTGGTCTCCTGGATCTGGTTTTATTAATTTTCCTTTCTATAGCCAGATTAACCAAAGTTATTACTGCGTTTGAACAGTAACTTGGAAATTTAATTGGTGGATGGTGACTAGCAGTGGAATCAAGGATAACGCGCATTTCGTCCTATTTGGAACTCTTCAGCTGGATGTACATGCATTCCTCAGTGAGCGATTATGTTCCCACCGGGGCTCGAACCCAGCGTTATCCTCTAGACCAATTGTGCCACGAGAGCCACCTCTTATGCAACGGGTCATATTAATTTAATTGAAAAATGCAGGTACATACAGCTGACGAATCCTAAAGAGGATGAAATGCGCATTCTGGATTCCAGTGACAGTCACCATCCACCAAAGAAATATTAAATGCCCAGACATCGTTGAAGCATCTGCACAACAAGCCGACATGTCAACCTGAGACCGAGCACTTCGGTCCAATCAATCGACGGGAAAATCAAAAATTCAATTAAAGTAACTTGGATACTCCATTTTCGTAAAAGGAGCAGTTACCTGTTCATGATTACGATATAATATTCGTCTTCATTTTCACTTTTCTATTTGGTTTCATCAAATATTTCGACTGAAATTCTCCTAGCTAATCGGGTAAACGTAATCGAATATTCAAGTGAGCTTTGTGATTTAGTAAATAATATTTCAGATGGCACATAATAAGTCAAGACAACTAATGTTCACCTGAATCAAAAAACCACTAGGTACTGGTCCTCATCTTCATGTTTTCAAGTAGTGCCTTTATAATACCACAGTGATTTTTTTATTATAGATTTCATAAAGTGAAAACGGTATTATTATATACTCCATGGGGTTTCGAACACAATTCAATATTGTTCATAATCACATCAGTCATAACTACACAGCTTCGAAACTTTCGTTTTATAGGTTTTTTTTTATTCTTTCCTATATTTCCTACGGGTAGTAGAATTTCTCAGATGTTAAGGACAGGTGTTGGAGTCAATTGTATTGCACGTGTTTCCAGTTGATTCTCTGAATAAGACATCCAATATCAATTTCTTCCTCCATCCTGTTGTATACCATTTTAGAATAAATATGGCATTCAAACCCACAGATTTACTTAGAAACAAGTTTTGTTAAACAAAACAATTTAGTTTACCTATCACCCTGCCTGCAGCCATTATCAGCTCAGATACATAAGTGAATGCAGTACAACACTGTCAATCGGGCTAGCGAAACACGAAAATCTAGCAGCGAAATCTAGATTAGTTGACCGAATATGATATGAAATCTGGAGAATAGTTCAGCCATAGCACTACATACATTTAAACACAAACATATAATAGGGTAGGATGACATAAGAGTTCTAGAGTCTGATATAACAGGGTGGAAGGAGAGATTGGATGTCTTGGATGTCTTCTTCATCGAATCAACTGGAAATACGTATATTAACATTGATTCAACACCTGTCCTTAATATCTGGAATATTCTACTACCCCCACTACAAGGAGAAGAGAATCAACAAAACTACAAAACGACAGTTTCGAAGCTGTGCAGTTATGATTAATCTGATTGTGAACACTATAGAATTGTGTTCGAGACGTCATCCAGTAAATAATGATACAATTTCACTGTGTGATATATCTAATAAAAAAAGATTACCTGAGAAGACAGACAATTACAGTGCTAAAGTTTTACGTATATATTTTAGGGTTACGGGACATTCGATGTAATAAATTCAAGTTAAACTCAAATCATGGTTAGAAGATATAATAATAAATAAAAGTGACTTGTACCGTCAGATCTACAAGGAAAAGACTGAAAGCATATACTTGATCAGTCCAAGACACAGACATATAGTGAACATAACCGGATCAGGTTTCGAAAACAATTTATACTTCATAATCATTTGAGGATTGTAAGTTTTGCTTGAAAGTCCTCATGCTAGGTACACTTCAGAAGTTTCTGTTCAAGAGTGTTCATTGCAAAGCTCCACAAAATTACAACTGGTAACCTCAAAATGCGAAGTGGAACTTATATGAAAAAATGCAAATTCATGTAAGAGGAATTTCACACCCCCACCGAATAATCTCCCGATTAAAAAACACAATACCTAATAATCCCAATTACCATAAGCTTCCAAAAAATATTTTTCACAAAACACGAAAGCGACCTTCAACATCACATTAACTGTCAATGCCATGAATTCACACTTTCTGTACTTCTCTGAGACTCAAAATATAATCAGGGCTACTTAATTACCAACCTGTTTCCAATCACTTCCCAATATCCCACAATGACGAGGGAGACTTATTTAAAGAATGCAAATTCACGTAAGAGGAATGAATTCCCCAATCCCACCTCACATTCTCCCCGTTACAATGCACTGAACAACATGCTCACCACATATTAAACCATTCAAATTCAGTTAACTTCACTCAGATACAAAGTAAATTTTCAAAATCACGCAATATTACCTTCTATTACCGTTATCATTTTTGATTAATGATTCACTGAGTCACTACTTTCAGTAGGTTGAAATACGATTGTTTTTTTCCGTCTCAAATAGACTACAAATTACACTCGCTTATTTATTCACATTCATATATACATATGGAATATCCGTCAATTATTGTCTGTCAGTCTGTGCGTCTATCCTTCTGTCTGTCTGTCTATCTATTTGACTGCATAACTGAACTTTCATAACTTTCGGCTCTCAAAATAAAAATTAGTCTATAGGATAATTAATTACCTCATAGTGGTTGTTATTTACGTCTCTGTATGTATGTATGTATGTATGTGTACTCAGATCAAAGATAGATAACGAATCGGTTGCATCGGTTTATTGCTGACAGTCCGTGTTTATAAACTCCTGGAGATATTGAACAGCTAGCTAGACAAAATGATTATTATTATTATTATTGTGAAACAAGCTCCACTGGTAGATCTCATGATCTACAGTAAATATTATTCAGATGATTCCGTTAACTTATTGACTTCTACTACTTCAAACAACAATAGTTTAAGTATTTCTATTAATGATAATTCGAGAATATAGTTTGAGTGAATGCACATTTCTGATAGATTCTCATCAGGATTTGCAAATACATTTTGGGATTAGTCAGCACAGACATTCGATGTCATTAGGGTGATTGGAATAAAGATTCAAGTATTTAGATTAGTGGATAATAATTAAAAGCTGCGATAATGAGAGCTTAACTTATTATGAAGCAGCAAGGTAGTTGTCGGATCGAACTGGAACTTTGAAATGTTTGGTGTTTAGTTACAGACCAAAGGAAACTTGTGTTTTTAAAGACGAAATCCAGCGTTGGTCATTCCAAATTCGCTTCTGACTTCATTTCTGAAGTGCTACTAGATTGTCAAGTGTATGATGGTAAAATGCTTAAAATCCCAAGGGATTTTCAACTTCGTCAAATGGTGAATGCAAATTTCCATTTTATCGGCAAAATTTTTTGTAAAAAATACAATATGCCTGTGGTTCACCCCCATAGAACTTTTCTTGCACTTATGTTTCTAAAAATATGAGAAACCTATTGTTCTGTTATGTATAGAATATTGAAATTTCTATCAAAGTTCTAAGTATATCTGACAACTACCTTGCTATCCCAGTTAGTATTTTTTTAACATGCATCAATCTAAGATGCATGTTAAAAAATACTAACTGGGATTTATTCTATGAAAGTACATTAGATGACACAATCGCCAATATAACGGATTATCTTAAGTTCTGCCTTGACATATGCTGTCTGAAACAAACACTGTTCAAACGCCTTGACCGCTTCTCGTCTCCTCATCTCAAACAACTTCGCAGGCAAAAAGAAATGTTATATAAATGCAAAGACAAGTTAGGACTTAAAAAGATTAATGCTCAAATCAAATCTGAAATCAAAAATATTAATGCTGTCTATAACCAAACACTTTTATCATGCAAATCTCCTATCAGCATGTGGAAACTTTTCAATGAAATTACTGGCAATAGTAAGCGATGAAATGTTTTTCCCTCTTATCATGTTAACGCTCTTAATCAGTCTTTTATACGCTCTCCTTCTACTATAACCACTTCTAACGTTACTAATCATGTAGCTGATAACTTCCAGGACTTTAATACTCTCGATGATTTAAAACGTCTTAAAACTCTTTAGCCCTCACATAGTCTTGGTCCTGATGGTATACCTGCACATTTTCTAAAACAATGCGCGGATGCTTCATGTTCTCCACTAACTAACATCCTAAATGCTTCTTTCTCCAAAAATGTTGTACCTGTTCAATGGAAAGACATTAAAATAGTCCCTGTCCCTAAACCTGGAAATAGCAAGAACGTAAAATTCAGACCCATTGCCATCACTTCCCAGTTTCTAAAGCCTATGGAAAAACTAGTACTTCTTAAACTCGAACCCTCCCTTAAAAGCTTTGAAGACCCCAAACAATTTGCCTACAGACACGGTAGGAGCACTTTAGACGATGCAGCCGTCTTACATAACAGTATCGTCTCATCATTAGATAAAGGTGTCAAATACGTCCGCTGCACATTTCTTGACTTCACTTCTGCTTTCTACTCTGTACCTAGATGTCTCAGGCTAAATAAGCTCTCTATGACACAAACCGAGTCCTGGGTCACTAACTGGTTGCATGCTTAATTTTCAAACAGAATTTAGTATACCGTATACAAAGGCAAATCCTCCTCTGCTGTGCTCACTGAAGCTGGTGTCCCCCAAAGTGCTGTACTCTCCCCACTTCTCCTTTCTTTCTTTCTACATGACCTACCGTCTTCAAATGACATTAACTTTGTCAAATATGCTGATGACCTCACTGTATCCTTGCCTGTCAGATGTCAAAGTGACTGCTCTAAACTAAACGGCTTTTTATCAGAAATCAGCGAATAGTCCAAGGAAAACGGTCTCACCTTAAACTCCTCCAAATGCCAAACAGTTAATTTCACCTTTAGACACAAAACTGACCCAAACAAACTGGTTAGCACTCACGAGGTGTGCAACATGGATGGCACTGAAATAGAGACCAAGTCGGAAATTAAATACCTAGGCGTCATTCTATCTGCTGATCTTTCCTGGTCGTCTCATATCTTGATGATTTCCAAGAAAATATTCCGTCTTACCTTCTACATCAAGAAGTTAAGACATTCTGGTATAGCCCAACCCTTACTCCTACAATTAGTTAACTCCCGTATTCTGCCTATTATTCTCTATTGTCCCCCTTAGTTTTTCCTGGGCTACTGAAGAAAGGCTATACCTTATTACGTAGGATGTTAAAGGTTGTCAGCAGGGTAAGCAACGTGCCACTTAACCAGTTTGTTAATATTCTGGTGGACAGACACATGAACTCATGTGAAAAATGGGCTAAATCCATTTTATCTAACTCACACCACCCTCTTCATTCACAACTCTCCCCTTGTATCTGATCAGGCAAAACCAGAAGCCTATACAGAAAAATATTTATGCTCGCACTAGTAAGTACAAAAACTCAACCGTATCCTACTTAGCTCGAGTTTTGTGCAATAAAGAAGGCATTAGGCGTGATACCCATAACTTATTAAATAGTCAGTAGAACAACTGGATCTCGTCTTTCCAACTCATCTCATGCATAGGTACAACGTTTCAGGATTTAGCATGCATCTTAGATTGATGCATGTTAAAAAAATACTAACTGGGATAGCAAGGTAGTTGTCAGATATACTTAGAACTTTGATAGAAATTTCAATATTCTATACATAACAGAACAATAGGTTTCTCATATTTTTAGAAACATAAGTGCAAGAAAAGTTCTATGGGGGTGAACCACAGGCATATTGTATTTTTTACAAAAAATTTTGCCGATAAAATGGAAATTTGCATTCACCATTTGACGAAGTTGAAAATCCCTTGGGATTTTAAGCATTTTACCATCATACACTTGACAATCTAGTAGCACTTCAGAAATGAAGTCAGAAGCGAATTTGGAATGACCAACGCTGGATTTCGTCTTTAAAAACACAAGTTTCCTTTGGTCTGTAACTAAACACCAAACATTTCAAAGTTCCAGTTCGATCCGACAACTACCTTGCTGCTTCATAATAAGTTAAGCTCTCATTATCGCAGCTTTTAATTATTATCCACTAATCTAAATACTTGAATCTTTATTCCAATCACCCTAATGACATCGAATGTCTGTGCTGACTAATCCCAAAATGTATTTGCAAATCCTGATGAGAATCTATCAGAAATGTGCATTCACTCAAACTATATTCTCGAATTATCATTAATAGAAATACTTAAACTATTGTTGTTTGAAGTAGTAGAAGTCAATAAGTTAACGGAATCATCTGAATAATATTTACTGTAGATCATGAGATCTACCAGTGGAGCTTGTTTCACAATAATAATAATAATAATCATTTTGTCTAGCTAGCTGTTCAATATCTCCAGGAGTTTATAAACACGGACTGTCAGCAATAAACCGATGCAACCGATTCGTTATCTATCTTTGATCTGAGTACACATACATACATACATACATACAGAGACGTAAATAACAACCACTATGAGGTAATTAATTATCCTATAGACTAATTTTTATTTTGAGAGCCGAAAGTTATGAAAGTTCAGTTATGCAGTCAAATAGATAGACAGACAGACAGAAGGATAGACGCACAGACTGACAGACAATAATTGACGGATATTCCATATGTATATATGAATGTGAATAAATAAGCGAGTGTAATTTGTAGTCTATTTGAGACGGAAAAAAACAATCGTATTTCAACCTACTGAAAGTAGTGACTCAGTGAATCATTAATCAAAAATGATAACGGTAATAGAAGGTAATATTGCGTGATTTTGAAAATTTACTTTGTATCTGAGTGAAGTTAACTGAATTTGAATGGTTTAATATGTGGTGAGCATGTTGTTCAGTGCATTGTAACGGGGAGAATGTGAGGTGGGATTGGGGAATTCATTCCTCTTACGTGAATTTGCATTCTTTAAATAAGTCTCCCTCGTCATTGTGGGATATTGGGAAGTGATTGGAAACAGGTTGGTAATTAAGTAGCCCTGATTATATTTTGAGTCTCAGCGAAGTACAGAAAGTGTGAATTCATGGCATTGACAGTTAATGTGATGTTGAAGGTCGCTTTCGTGTTTTGTGAATAATATTTTGTGGAGGCTTTTTTGGTGCTTATTTTAAAGTTTTGGAATTGGACGAAATTCTGTATTCATTCATCGCTGGTCTTTCGATAGATGGGGAATACTTTAAGTCTCTACTGTTATTTATCGCTCGTCGCCTCTCATCGAATTTCAGGTATCATTGATTAATTGTGCGTAAACTAAAATGCTGTACATTTGCTGCATGTGGAACTTATGTAAGCTTCTTTTGGAAATACAGTTATGTTTCAAATAGTTTCAGCGGCCGTCACTAAGCTACAAAGTTACTGAATAAGACATAGCTTTCATCTGATTTTCTCCTCGAGTCTGAATCACTCCAATAACTTGCATCTACTGTGAGAAGAATTCCAAAGTATTCAAGTAATTCATAAACCACTCTGCTGATTATAATTATCAAATAATAAAAAAGAACAATTGTGAAATAATTTACTTTGCAGTATTTACAGTCATCGGCTATTTCGAAATCTGCCAATCTAACAGGTAATGAACACTGATCGCATGTATAACACCTGATAGCTCCTGATGAAAAAAATCACGTCAAAAAGGATACAGAAATATGTGAATTAAGAAGTTGAGAATAAAGTTAATAATAAGCTGTAAAGGATTTAAATGTTGTGATAATTTTCCGCTTATTACTTTGGATTAAATTATCTAAAAATCTTTTTCAGAATTATTGAATAGCAAATAGCCCGAGGGTAATGTTACTGATAGACAGAATCGGCAGTTGTCTGCAAACTGAAATTATTCACAGGATGACCATTCAATGCGAAAATGTTTATAAGGCTTGCTTATTTATATTTGAGCTGAATGTATATCCTTTCAGATAAAACTTGCAATACCCGGCGGACTGTAGCAGAAAGAGGTAAAATGATGAAGCATCTTTGTAACAGTGTAAGAATTTATTGCCTTTGTTGTATCGATGATCTTAGTCTATATGGGACTGAAAACTTCCGAGTCTGCTGAATAACATTGTACCACTCAAGTGGTGAGTTCGAATCTACTAGCTGGTGCTCTCAATAACTGCCAGTTAGCAGCATATCAACAAGGCATAAATATGTGTCAGCTGTAAGATGTTAGTTGTCTAATGGTACACTGCTTAGTCTGAACTAAGTTTCATGCCTGTAAATATTTTTCAAAATGGGCATTTCTGAGATCCTACGAGAAATAATATCTCCAGTGGTACGTGGCCCCCAATAATGCATTAAGACACATGGAAAGCGAGGTGTTTGAACATTTTAAAGTTAGATAGCAAAGAAATTCTTCTTGACTCAAACACATGCACATCCCTTTGGTCAGTCCGTTCCATATATATGTATATATATACTTAACATTAGTCTTTTATATTCAAGAAGTGTAAAACTTACTCCAGGGGATTATTAATACTAATTCCTTATATGAATATTATCGAATACTCTAAACTCTTTGAAATACGAAATGTACACAGGATAAATGGATTACAGAACTATGGGGTAGCAGTTAAACAAAACCTTTTCAACTGGCACTAGGCATACGTAATGACTGTGTGATGAGTCTCGCACTCCCTAAGTAAATGTATTTCGATTTTGACAACGTTGGGTGCATAACCATGCATATTGGTGACTTTAGCTTACTGATCTGGTTTCAATCTTACAAACTTCAATCCCTGTGGCTGTTACTGTGCGTCAGTGGCACAGTGGGTAGAACTCTCGCTGACCATGCACATGGTCTAGGGTTCGATCCCCAGCCGATGCAGACCTGATATATATGGTTGGCCTGCTAAATTTGGGCTACCGATATCCATGCTGAAAATTCCATGCTTGTACCAAAAATACAGTGTGAAATCAATCTTAATCAAAAATAAAAAAATTGCTCTACTGGGCAACATCTTCCGCGCACACTTCAATTCGCAGTGAGCTTTTAGATTTCCCCACGAGTTTATTAGTCATCTCATTGGAACAATCTGACTGAGAACTAACCGCCATAGAAACAGTCAGATTATCGGTATACTTCAAAAATTTGGCCTCGTCAGAATGCGGCAAGTAATGTAAGAAGAAATAAAACAGAAATGTAGGGAGAACAGCTCCTGAAAGCAATATAAGCTAGAGTAAATGAAGCAGTGGATAACTTCACATTATAAACAGGTGTATTGTTTTCCATCAACAAAATTGGAATGCAGCTACTTGTTAGTCTAGCACTATACTTTTGTTGCAGCATACCTATTTACTTTTTATCTTGTTTTAGCTTGAGACTCTCCACCGAGGGGCTCAAACCCAATATCATTAATTTGTAAGCCAAATGTATTCAGCATTTAGCTACTCGTTTGAATTAATTGATTATTATGATTTCTGTTGTTTTGAGATTTAGTGCCAGTACCAGTCCACGCTACCGATGAGCACCACTTCCACTGTCCGTCATGGCTTCGCATTACAACACCGAGAAATCCATTTCATAATTAGTTACTAATGAGCAAGAAATTACTATTAAGAATTTCGTTCTTCAAGATCTGATATTACTAATATCGAATGGTGCAAATGGGTTCATTTCCCCATGTTCGTGTTTGAATATATTTTTTATGATGATAAAATTGTACGCTATACTTAACTATTCAAATAAATATAAATATAAACAAACAATGTGGCGAAAATAGATTTTCTTAAAATTAAATAATAAACAATAGCACTAGTGATTTTCAAACTTAAATTAGGCGCTAAAGAGCGAAGGTTTTCATAACACTGAAACATTGAACGACAAAGAAAATGTAATTTCAACAATAAGCTAAATACCGACAGCAACAGTATCAATGAAAAAACTAAAACAACTGCTCACCTGTTTGAATCCACAGTGAAGTACTCATTATGAAAATTATTAAAAGCATTAAATTCATTTTTTCCCAGTTATTTTTTTATAAATTATTTTTCACTAGTTTTGTGGAAAGGTACTTACAAAAACGTTTTCTGAGGTCTTATTAAATAAAATCCTGCCACGATTGAACTGCTAATAATCAAATTAGTACTATTTTCAAAGAAAGTAGTTTATATACACTCTTGAAAGCTTATTGGTTAAACGGTAGCATTTACAAGAAGAAAAAACAGAAAACCTGACGATGACTGAACAGTAATCCTATTAGATGAAGTCATATGACATTGATGACAATTACATTTAAACTTTTTAAGGTTGATATATATACAAATTAGTACATAGAGTTGTATATAAATACATATAAACACACAGAGCTATACTAATGCAGCCTCGTAATATCATGAGTTCACTCATTTTCTGAAAATATGTGTATACTAAATACAGAGAAATGAATTAGGCTTAATTTTTTCTCTGGAGAGCGAGCTTATCAGCAAGATCGATTTGCCTAATTACTTTATTATTATGTAATTAACCTTGCGTATTAATATTATTATTATTACTACTACTACTACTATCCCTATTGTTATCATTATGATTATTACAAAAAAGAAATATTATATGACAATTGTAACTGATAACTGATTAGTCAATTGATTTTATTAAAATTACTGTGCTTAATAAATAAATGCTCAGTGAAAATAGACCACTTACTTTCACAAATGTTAATTTTATTGTACAGAAAAGAAAGTACTTTTGGCAGACACGCAGTGGTACATTTGATTTCACCATATTTTTCTTTGAAGCCTGAAAATAATACTATCAAGATGTGTACTGGACTTGGTATCGTGATTGTTGTTAAGATTATTAACACGAGAACATAGGTAGTTGGCATTATTTTTTATTATTTATTTATTATTTTTTGATTACAGCTTGATTCCACACTGTATTTTTGGTACAAGTATGGAATTTTCAGCACGGATATCTGTAGCCCAAATTTTGCAGGCTGACTATAGATATCAGGTGTGCATCAGCAGGGGATCGAACCTCGGACCATGTGCATGGTCAGCGAGAGTCCTAACCACTGTGACACCGACGCACAAATTTGATAGATAGGTTTATTCTATATATCACATGGTGATGCAGTATTAGTAACAACTGGACGATGTTTCCAGCATAAATTGTAACTCATAATCATACCAATTTAGCAACACGGTTTAACAATTTGTCTTATGCATGTATATTTTTCCCCTCCTTCTTTCTGGCCTTCTTCTCCCTGTTGCTTGTTGCTACTTTCCATATCTCCGCTATAGGTGTTGTTGTGCGGTGCAATTATTAACGTCTCTGTTCAACCAACTGTATTACTTTTTAATACTGTCATCCTGTCCCCATTAAAAGTAATGCTGTTAGATGGAGAGAGAGGTCAATCATTGAAAGCATATATATATATATATATATATATATATATATGTTCCTTTACGTCCCCAGTGGAACATAAGGCCTCAAGCTAGAAGCTTGAATTTTCGGTAGTAGTGGTTTAGTTTTACGGGATTTGGTTGTTACTGGCCTCATGCCAATCCTTCCCTCTTTACCAGTCTTATTACTTGCTTAGTGAAGTAGAGGAGTGCGCGGTCTGCGAGCATTCTACCGCTATGTCACCGAGTTCTTGAACGATCAGAAAGAAAACCTGTGAATATTTACTAAGCATCCTTTACCTACAACATGTAAATTGATTTCGTTCCATTCACCTGCCCTTCGACTTACTCCACCGTCTAAGCAAGTGGCTGCCTATCAATAGTAGAGTAGACTGGAAAGTATTACACCCACTAACACAATGAAGCTACTAATTGTGGAGCATAAGGACGATAAACCTTAAAGAAACTGAAAAATGCGTTATGAAAACCTGTTCTCCTGTACCACTGTTACAACACTCCATTTGTCTAAGTTAATTACATTGTTTGCAATCAAGAAAAACGAATTAATGAATCTAATTGCTAGGTTGTGCATATTGTGTTTTCTGAGATCTTCATGATAGGTATGACAGATGTAAGAATTCAAACTCATTTCTTCTTTTGAATATCAGTGGTGAAGAGGACTTCGAAGTCAACAGGTATTCTATAGAAGAGGCCTTAAGTTACAAAATACAGTTAGACAGCACAATTTGAAACGATGCATTATTTAAGTGCCTTTATTTCATTTTCATTCACACAGTACATATTTGTGTATTCTGTAAGTGATGTTGTAGTTTGATTGAAAGATTCTAACAGTAATCAAACTAGGACAGTATGGAAATCTTGTCCGAAGGAAACATGAAGAATTACATACGGTATTCAAGGATTTTGGCAACTGTAATTGACGGAACGCGCGAACTAGTTAATGATACGTGGAGTGAGTGAGAGGTTATACATTAGGTCACTTGAATAATTACTTAAAATGTGTAGTACAGCTTGAATGTTTGAACTTTTGTCTTAACACATTCATATAATATGGCGCTGTGACTTCACTGTGCATCCGACGTGACTGCTCGCACGTGGCTTGCTCCTTAGTCGCGCTATCATTAAGCTTACTCCTGGGCTTGCTACTCCAGACACTTAACTGATAAGGTGTACAATATTCTTATTTATTCAATTTGTCATTTAATCTGTTTTAAAAATAAAATCCTCACCTAAGCAAATTGCTTAGTCACAAGTCTTTTTGCTTCGAGTTCGTTTATTGGCACGTACCAATGAGCTAGAGTACGGATAAGGTTACCGAGGAAAGCTAGTTTAATAGGTGCTGACGTTAGGAACTATCAAGAGGTTGACATCGAGACTTACACATGCATGTACGAGGATGATAAAATAACTGCAGTGTTGTAGCTAGACGTTAACCGTGGTGACCACGTGAAACAATGGCCTGATTAGTAATTGTGTCTTCTAGGTCAACTAGCTTACACCTCAATCCAGATTTGCATTTCACCTGGGACCGTCATCCATAAGAGTAGTAGCAGTCTGGAAACTCAAAGCTATTTGAGATCACCTCAATCTTAGTAGAAGAAAAACTAATTTCAACCAGTGTCATCAGAATTAACCATGAAGTTGTTTTAGCGAATTTTATGATGCTATAGATTTTGCCTAGGATGATACAATAAGGATGCATATATACACAGCACAAAGGACAGCGAATCTACTACGATTTGCTGAAGCAATTGCAATCAAACGTTACTGACCAAACTTATGCACACAGAAAGAGAGTGTAGTCAATCTCACACTTTCATTACACTGATTAGTCATACATACTAGTGGACTCAGCTCACTAAGCAAGTTTTCAAATTGATGAATTTGACCTTCCTGAGTTACCATGTTGACACTGTTTATTAGATTTTTCTGTTTCCTGTCTTCTCTTAACCCCCTTTTTCTTTTTTTATAGTTTGATAGTATGTAAATTGATGGCAACTCAAACTATAAATTGTAATACTTACATTCCAGAAGCGTTCACCTTATAATGTTTTCTATATTACCTTTCAAACATTGAATTATGAGGGATTATTACTCAATAACCATTGCAATTTCAGGTAGTTTGCAGTTGATGAGAACCTGTGAAATAGAATGATATCATTTTATACTGTAAATCTGGTCTTACCTACTCTGTCGAAATTTATCAAGGGAACCAAATGGACACAATTTAAATAAGAAGGCCTAACCTAACTGCGATAACTATGCTGAGACACTAAGTACATAGAATGAGTGCACATATAAACAAAAACAGAAATATTTTCATTAACTACTTAAAATGCTCCCCCAATGTAGTAAACAGATAGAACTAATAAAACAAATTACATGGATTGCTATGTCTTATGGTATTCAGGTAATTTCTAGTAACTATTCTTAACTATGCGTGTAAAATTTGTTAATTTTAATATTCATGCGGCTCTCCTGACATTCTTTTTACTGTGCTCTATTACAGGATGTTATGACTTGATTTTATATTCTACTTTATGATATCATAATCTTTTATGTTCGAAAAACTTTGATCTTTTTAACAAAACTCATGAATTTATGATTTTAGATTGGAAATACCACTACTGTTCCCTTCTTCTGATCTGCTATTTCCTAAGTATTTAGTTATCCTATGGGGAAACAGATTACTGCATTGTTGTAGGTAAATGCTACCAAAAAATGCACACATCGTTTTAGCATGAATACTCACTCCATCATGCATAAAATGAATGCATGCAAAGTACACAGATAAATACACTGTGGTATTTCCAATCCAAACTTCACGTGAATTCTGACAAACTCAAGCTTGTGTGTTTATCTGATAATAGCATACAGTTGAAATAACCTTATCTGCTGTGTATCATTGTCAGAATATTTGATCTGTTCAAGTTGTTAAACGGTGATAAAGTAACTTTTGGAAATACTTTATGTATACTAAATATTCTCACTTTCTCACTTCAGTGAAAGTAGTGTTTTCACTGTATCTACAGTATTGTCTTACTTGGATTCGATATGTTGATAACTAACTTCATGGGTGGGAATATTTCTGTGTTGGTTTTTCTGTTTTTTCTTTGTGCTAATTACAAATTGACGTGAGCAGTATAGCAAGCAGCGTCTTTGTATAAGCAAAGAAAATTTGTATGTCACTTGAGGAGCTAGTGAGGAAGAGACGTGAGGAGAATCAAAAAACACGGTAGAATCCAGTAAGGAAAATGGTGAGATCAGTGTGTGGTTTATCAATTATTCAGTGTGTATTGTCGTTGTGAAAATTATTGTTGCTCTCATCAGTTTTGCATACATCAATTCTATCTAGACTGGTGATAATAATGAATATAAGAGTATTTGTTATCACGGAAGTTGTTATGAGTAACTTTTTATTCGGAGTTTCTATCCTATTCAGCCTGTCGTCATAAACTCATCAAACGGTTTTACTGAGTGTTAAGGAGGCTTACAGGCTTATGATGAGTTGCATTTCTTAGTGGATCCAGGATGCATAACTAAGATCTCAGTCTACGTGACTGTGAATGAAGTCCACAACTCCAGAGAGGAA